AATTTTCTAAGATCACAAAGCCTGCCCGGAAAGTATGGGACCACCCTGTGTACCATCTATGGAAGGAAAAATAGTAAAGACAAAATGCATAAAAACCGAAAGGTTCAGTAAACCAACTCCACGATTGAGGTAGATACACTTTTTTTGTATGTTCGAAGTTATTTAAACGTATTTACGTATTTAAACCGCATACAATACTATATTAACGAGGTCAAATATTTTCACTCGAAAAGCAAAAGGGACGGGCTTTTAATCTAGGGCGGAACGTTGAAAGTTAAATCAAACGTTGCTTTCAATTATTCACTAACCGAAGAAATGAAACAACTCGTGGCTTTTTTCGCGAAAGGTTAAAGGATGAAATGAAACGACTGCATAAAAACATTGGCTGAAAATCAGGAATCCTTTTGTTTTAGTTCTCTCTCTCTCTCTCTCTCTCTCTCCCTCTCTCTCTCTCTCTTTCTACATATATAAGTTATATATATATAAGTTGCGCCATGTTTAAGTTTCAAATTTGTGAGTGATGATTTTAAGTGATACAAATTCGGCTAGAATCATAGCATTGTTGGGCGTTGGAAGAAGTCAAGCGTATGTGACCAGGGTGCTTAACGTTCCCAGCACAACTGTCCGAAGGGTCTTCCATCGCTACCAGGATACTAGAGGTAGCGCTACCAAGAAGGCATGGATCAGGTCACCATTGTGCCACATCTCAGAGATGATCGTTTTATTGTTTCGAATATACTCTGAAATCGACATTCTACCTGCGTTCAGATCAAGCAATGACTTCAACAAGTTACAAATGTTAATAGTCATTGCACTGTAAGGCAAAGACTTTCACAAGGTAGATTACGTGCAAAAAGGCCTGCCTTTGGTCCAGAACTTCTTACAACGCACAGGAACAGCTCAGCAGAATCACAACTAAACACTGGGCTAAAATCTTGTTTTCGGATTGGTCGAGTTTTGTTTGAGATCTGGATGCCGAGAGAGGGTTTTGAAAAGAACAGGAGAGCGATACATCCCCGCAACATTTTCACTTCAGAAAAGCTATGGAGGAGGTGGTGTATGGTTTAGACAGGCATTTCTAAAGAAGGACAAACTTCATTTTCATCGAGGGTTCCCTAACAGCTGCATGATAGATTGACGATGTGTTTTCAGAAGTTGTTCCTTATGTGCGATTAATTGGCAATGGTTTTATTTTAATGCATGACAGTGCCAGGCCCCACATAGCTAGGATAGTTGGACACTACTTGGAACGGGCTTCAATTCAATGGGCAGGTTTTTCTACGGATCCCATAAACTTGACCTTCCTCGAGGGTTCCCTTTCAACCTGTGAATGAACCTAGTTTTCGGACCATCTGTTTCACTATTTGGCACACAAAAATATATGAAATATTATTTACTCGTGCAAATTATGAGGCAATCGAACATTCAGTTTTCATCGATTCTAATAAAAGTAGTAAACTGTGAAATATTAGAAAGTAAGGAAATTGCAATTTTAGAGAAGAGATTTTGCCAATCAGATTTTAATCCTGAGGAGCCAAAAACCAATACACCTGCATCGTAAAAATTATGCCGTTCATGCATTTGTAAGCCAAACTGAAACTTTCATCTCTGATGATGTCAGTGGGTGCAAAGATCAAGAATAATTAAATAGCATGCTTACAAAAGTTCATTAGATATCTGCAGCAGAGAACAGTGGTTCATCATATCTAATAACGTTATTATTAGATAAACAATATAATTACACCTAGCGTACATTTCGAAGAAATGGAAATTGCCATAAGCCATTGCAGATTAATGCCGTGAGGTTGATTATCAACATCATTACTAGGTAAACAGTGATATGGTGTTGAATTTTGTGATGGAATGAACAGTCCTAACTTTGAGAATACTGCGAATGGCAAACTTTATGCAGACCTTTTGAGAGAAATCACTCAAAGCTTTCTTGTTAAGACAGCCGTAACATTGACTGGGACTCAACAACTTATTAAAAAAAACAGAGTTTACTTCACCATAAAATAAAATTATGAATAATGGTTCGATTAATAAAATACTTACTCAACCAAAGAATACTTGTTGTTTTCATGTGATAAGTAAGTTGGTGTCGCCTTTTCAAAAACCATAGATCTTTGAGGTTTTCCTGGCCTCTTTGTCAAACATGTACTCCGAAATCGACATTCTACCGCTGTCTAGATCAAGCAATGACTTCAACAACTTCGAAATGTTAATGTCAGTTTATGCACTGTAAAGTGAAGACTTTCAGAAAGTGGATTAGGCCTGAAACTGGTTCAGAACTTAAGACAAGGGACAGAACAGCTCGGTTACATTTCGCAAGAAATCACATCATTTGGTCTGAGCAAGATTGGACTAAAATCCTATTTGCGGATGAGTCAATGTTTTGTTTGAGATCTCACGACCGAGAGAGGGTCTGAAGAAGAACAGAAGAGCGATATATACTCGCACGTCTTCACTTCGGAGAAGTTATGGAGGTGGTTGTGTTTCTATGGAAGGTCGCACAAACTTGATTTCATCGAGGGTTCCCTAATAGCTGATATTTTGAAGATGTATGTTCCACAGCCCTACATTCAAAACCTCATAAAATCGATGCCGAATGCAAGATGTGATCAACGCAAGAGGAGGTTACTCCGTACTGAATTGAACATTTTCTTCATTAAATCCATTATATTTCGTGGTCCGATTGACCAAATAACATAAATTAATATTTTTATGTAAGGTTTTGGTTGAAATGAAAAAACTATTGTCACGAGCGGGATTCGAACCCACGACCTTCGGCTCAATACGCCGCTGCTCTAACTACTTGACCTATCGTGACTTCGATCCACACGGACAACAACTCCCCATCTATACCTTCCTTTAATTTTTCCTCCTTTTTGCCATTTTTCAAATGTCGTGTAATCAGCATTCGATGCTCGCGACATACGAAGTGGCCATGGAGAGCTTTTAGTGAAGATATGCTTCGTTTTACTTATTAAATCCATTATATTTGGTGGTCCGATTGATCAAATAATTTCTTTCAATTAATTAATCTTTTTATGTAAGGCATTAGTTGAAATGACGTAAAATTAGAAAGGTAGGTTGAATTGGAGAGTTGATATCGAAGTCACGATAGCTCAAGTGGTTGGAGCAGCGGCGGTTGGGCGGAAGGTCGTGGGTTCGAATCCAGCTCGTGACACTAACTTTTTCGTCTCAACCTTACACAAAAAAATAATAATTTTCTTCATTGTTTTACAAAGCAACATTTTTGATAAATTTTTTTAGCTTAATTTAATTTTGTATTATATCTTATATTTTTCTTTAAAAATATCAAGTAAATAACAAAAAATAAAAATGATAATAATTCCAGTATTTGAGTAAAAAAAGGTCACTGTGTTTTATTGAAACTGTGAGACCGACCAAGTTGTTTCTAAACTTATTTATTATATAAATTTTATTATGTAAACTTATTTATATTTATTCTTCTTTTAACTTCGATTTCAAGTGTAATACTTTGAAGCGAATAAAAGTATATTACGCTATTATAAGTAAAAGCAAAAATACGATAATTTCAATTCACAATTAGTTTCAGATATACTTATTAAACGTTGTTTTGTACAGTGATATAGTTCATCAATTTGGCTATTATTTTACAAATTGTGTTTTTAATCGGTTAAAACTGATAAGTATCATATTAATATTTCATTAGAACGTCTTCTGTCCTGTTAAAACAAAAACCAAGCCAAATGTAGTTAAAACTATTTTTCCAATAACAATAAAATCATCATTGTTCTGAATCGATTTTGAAACAATTCCTATTACTGAAGTGAAGATAAAAAGCCACAAACTATAGGAAACGTCGAACGGTTGCAAATATATTTTAACCATATATTGCAAATATATCGTTTGCGAACCGTTTGCTATATTATAAACATCCTACTTAATCTCTGTAATAGGATACTGACGGATGCTGGGCGTAATTGATCGATCACCTTCGAACCAAGCAGATGATATTATTACTATGATGATTTTGATTAATAGTCTAATAACATTGCGTACTTGTCCTATTAGTCGATAATTTAAACAATAGTTTTTTTATTGACAGGTTGACGATCGAAATATGTACAGCCGAGGATTTTTGTACAGGACCTCTTGTTTTCCAGACATTTTATTAGACTATACGGTCTAATTAAGCAGGAATGAAAACATGCACTGTCTAAATCTGCTTAGTTACTGGAATAATCGTTAAAACTATTGCTTACTAACGCTGCCACTTTTAAGTTAATAATTTTATATTCAAAAAATCAAGATCAATCTGAAAAAAAAAGAAAAACATTCAGTTTCCTCATCAAGCTTTCGATGAATATCCTTCATTAAGATTTTGAAACTATATATTATCAATAATTCTCAATTCGAATATAAACATGTACTTACAATATGAAACTTATGGTTTCAAACATAATGTATTTTAGTCCATATTTGTTTAGTGATCATAATTGACCATATTAATTATTCTTTTTACCTAAGGTTTTTCGTTGAGATGAAAAGTAGTGTCACGACGGGGATTCGAACCCACGACCTTCCACTTGAATTTTTGTCACTTCGATCCCCACCTACCTTCAACCGTTCGAATTGAAAAAATGGCAAAAAGCGGGAATATTCGGACGGTTACAGGTTGAGATGGGAAGTCCGAGGGGATCGAAGTCACGAAAGCTCTACTGGTTAGAGCATCGGCGTATTGAGCTGAAGGTGTGGGATCGAATCCCGCTCTTGACACTAATTTTTCATCTCAACCAAAAATCTTAGCGACCTTAATGACCTTTTAGTGTTAATACATTCCGTTGTTTATGATTATAAATGCTGAAATATCGTTGTTTTGCTTCTGACCTGACCTATGCAACTTTTATTTTGTCTTATTCGTTGTTTTGGTCTATGTTATGGCCTTCAAACCTATTGTTTTTCCCACGAGAGTCGATGATAAGTGCTAATGGTATTCTATTGTTTTGCAGATGTGGTTGATCGGCGCACTGTGCGTGTTGGGCGCTGTCGTTTTGGGTTCAGCTACTAGCTACAGTTTGGAGACGAACAGGGTCGGCCAACCCGAAATCGTCCAGCCGCTAGGTTTGCCGACAGACGAAGAAAGCTTCAACCGGCTCTCTCCATTACCCTACTCTAGTGGGACACACCACTTCGTTTCCTCGACTTTTCCAGGTATGGTTGAATGTTGGAGATTTTCCTGTCATAAATTATTTATAAATTTCTTGTATAACTATGAATTAGAGCATCAAATAAGAACAACAAACCTGGGGCCGAGACGGATCTCACTCTCAGCTTGTCCATTCCGAGTAGATGGCGCTGCATTAAGCACCAGACCGTGTGCCGCTCGGAAAGTGTAACCCCAGGTGACTGATATGCATCAGCCTGGGTCGTCCCTCTCTGACAGCCAGGCAGCTCTCAGAGCCTTAGCCTCATGCGAGTTGAAGGCAAAGAGGGTTTGGCAAGGAGGCCCTGACGGAAGTCAGCGACACTAATGACCTGACCCGGGCGTAAGTCCCTGGACATTCGGGGCATAGAGGCAACGAAAAGGTTGACATGCTGGCCGAAAAGGGAGCCAACATGGAATCTATGGGCCCAGAACCCTCCCTACTGGGGCCTAACAGCCTGCCACAAAAGAGCATCTTAAAATGGATCCTTAATGAGTCAAAAACCTGGTGGAACAATACTGCAGGTATGAGGCACGCGAAGAGGAAGGATCATCCGCAAAACTTACAAATGAACTACTGGAAGGCAACCTGGTTGGCAAGACTGGTTCGACTCCTGACGGGGCACTGCCACTTAAGAAAGCACATGCAATGGATAGGAGTACAGACAGAAGAAATACTGTACAGATACTGCCAGGAAGAGGAGACCGCAGAACACATTTTATCTTTCTGTGAAGGTAGGTGCAGGTTCTTGCAACTAGGGCAAGAAAAACCACAAGCAAGATCCTACACCAAGGAACCGCTGGCAAAGCTGTGGAGGCTGGTTAATAGCCTGAAGCTGGCCAGTGAGTCGTAATTAGCAGAGGAGCACAATAGATCTATTTAGGTCGAGGTGCAGTAGGCCTTGTGGCCGCCTCTCTTATCCCCCTATCCCTTGTCGTCTCACCGAGCTCCCTAGATAGAGAAGGCGACTCTATCTCCCAGATTATTGGGGCTCCTCCAGCGTAAGAACTACCGGATCCGATCCCGTCGCGGTTTGGTTTAAAGTGGAATTTCTAACCACCCGCTAGAGGAACAATGCCCTCGGAAGGAAACCGTGAACGGTACCCCCGAGCAACAGGTTCACACTAAGTTCCCGCCAGGAGCATTGCCACTAAGCCATTACGAGTCCGTCCATTGCCATGTAGCAGGGCAAGACTTGGAACATTTTCTGCTACCCCGTAGTTCAGATGGTTATGCACCCTCACCCGTCTATGCAGACAGGATCTGGTACCCTAAACCTCGTGTGCCTCTGATAAAGAACCCGCCGTCCCCTGCCGAGATTAATCCAGCTTGTGCTTTAAAGAGGGTTGCCATGTTCACAAGGCTACACCATTATGACCTGCCTGGATACCCCGTTTGCGTCCAAGGGTTGGGAGAGATCCCAAGGAAGTATGCCGAAGGACCTGGATTAATTAATTAATAATTTAAACAGACTAATCCAAAACTGTCATCAAAGAGGCTGGCATTTGTTTCATAGCTAAAGCATGTGGAAAGCACAATGACTGCTGCTGCAAAATAACAAACTTTCGTTTTCAGTACTCGTTGTTATTAGTTTTTTGATGTTATTCATTCTACATTTTTGTTAACTATTAATTTTTCTGAAAGTTCACCGCGGACCCCCGGAAATGGGACCGCGAACCACAGATTGGGAAGCCCCGATTTAGGGTAAACTTGTCATTCCTCAAACCTACAGAAGTTCATTATTCTCAAAAGAAGTTCCTTTCCTTCAAAGATTTTCAATATATTTGATAACTGTGTAAATGAAATATGCCAAAAAGACACATTATTTATTACAGGAATAAGCCATTTTTATTGGCTAATAAAAAGTCTCAAATGTTGAATATTAATTTTATACAACGGTTTTATAAAAAACATGAAAATGTTGGTTACGTTCAAAATTTACATTTAACCTGTTGTTAAAGCAATAATACATACAAGTTAATTTTAAAAAGTTCTTCGCTGTACATAAAAGAAAACTGAACACCTTAGGATAAGTATAAACAATATGCTATTGTTTATAATATAAATTTATTTTTAAAAATGGTGATTACAGTTTGTTTTTCAACGTGAAAATGGGCAAGGAAGGAAGAAGGCTGATGAAATGAAGCAACAACAAACAAATAGTGACGGTATTGGTAAATTAGTTGGTGTCGCTTCCTTTGCTTGACATGGCCTTTTTCTGTTTTTCACGCATCGCGTCAGCGTCCCTTTGTTTTCTCTGCTCCAAGCTTAAGCCGCAGTTTGTCCCTTTTTCGTTAGCTCCTTTCCTTCTCTCCAGTTCTTTCTGTTTCTTCTGGTTCTTCTCCCTCGCCAGGTCCCTTTGGTTCCCACGGGCCATAGTTCACTAAAACAGAAAGTCTCGATGAACCATTTACTTCGATAGATCTTTTAAATATTCGTCCACGCACAATATATAAAATACAGCTTTGTACTGTTCTCTCACCCTTCTCAATTATCAATTCTCATCACTACGAATAATACATCCCCTTTTTTACAAACACACACACTGACACACAAATACACTGGTCATTTTATTTCATAATTTGTCTATAATAATAGTGAGGGCAGGGGGCGTCGGTTATTTAGGCGTTGACACGGCGCTCATCACTCTAAGGTAAAGGTCCAGGGTTCGAATCCAGCGGACACCTTCTTACAATTGGACTTTTTTCCAAAAACACAGGCACCCGGAGGGCTGATATAACCTCTGCTGTTGCGAACCTTCGTAAAAAAAGAAAAAAAAAATAGTAGGAGCATACCAACGAACCACATGAATGCTAAATCGAGAATAAACATCAACTAAATAGATTTTTTAGAAGCAACCTGCCTGAACGTGCTAAAAAATATGACAACAAAAGTCGTGATTTTTTTTGACGTGTTGATCAAAAAACAACAGCCTCTGGTATTGAATATGCGAAATATAATATGTAAAGAATTATTACGTTTATGACACGAAGGAAATAAGGCAAATGTAGTAACTACTTACTAATAAAATCAAAGCCAACGGCAATTTCAGAGCTTATTGGTAAAACCGATCTCATGGCCAAAGCATGTTCTAATGTTATAACCATATGATCCGCTTCAAAACATTCTTGTGCAGAACGAGATTTGTTTTAGTTTAAAAAAAATCAACTCTCATCTTGTGACAAAAAAAATATTTATATATATATCCTTATATCTGTAAGGAACAGGGAGTCAATCTACCTAATATTCAACATTCGGTTTTTTTACGTAAGGTCTTGGTTGAAATGAAAAAGTTAGCGTTACGAGCGGGATTCGAACCCACGACCTTCGGCTCAATACGCCGCTGCTCTAACCGCTTGAGCCATCTGTCATCAATCCACACGGACACCAACTCCCCATCCCAACTTACAACCTTTCGAATTTTCCCTCCTTTTGCCATTTTTCAAATTAGGTTTATTATTCGAGTTGTAAAACAACTGATGCAAATGGCGGATTATGATGTTACTTCGGATTTTCTTCTTTTTGAAATATCACCTTTTCTGATTTATTAAAGCTGAAAAGCCATTTTGACATAATTGGTCCATCTGTATTATTTGCGAGAGACATAGCAATTGATCATATCACGTTGGATTTAGCATTCCTGCGACTAATTATTCACAATGATTTAAATTCCCACTTTCAACCTATAATTCCATTCCGTTAAAAAAAATCCAGACGAGTTAACAAACCAATTAATTAAGCCCCGACCCCTCAGGAGATTAAAGCGTCGAAAACCACCAGTCTGCCAGAGAGAACAAGTGAATAGAATATTGTTTGCAGACAGTAGTGTATGGCTTATGGAGTATCCTAAACGACTGTTATTTTGTTTCACTATTAAAACCAAATAAAACTAGTTTCATCTCTTATCACATACAAGATATAGAGGTAACTTAATGTAAACCAAAATTAAAATATTGTGACAAAATACAAAAACCGAATAAAAACAAATTGAACTCATAGCCTGAAAAGTATAAACATTTTCTGTGAGAAAAGTGAAATACAATTAGCCACATTGAGTTCTTTGATAACCCATTTATTATATCATTATTTTATACATATATTTTACTTTCGGAACGCTTTAGTCGGGAGTGAAAATTATGAAAATTTGAAACTTCTGTAAGCTGCGTGATGCGGCCATGTATAAAATGTAATTGCTCAGATGACAGAAGAAACAAGAGAAGGAATAATTTATTTTTCTTGATAAAAATTGTTCTAGGGAATAGATAATTAATGTATCACTAGAAAGCCAGAGGACTGAATTTCAGACAAGCTTTATTGGTATATTTCAAATTATGTTTTAATTATTTTAATATCTGATATTACCCACAGTCTTTTGTCATAGTCTTTTAGCCAGAAAAAAATATTGAAGGGCAAAATCCAAACAGAAACAATGTAATACATGGAATAAATTGCCTAAGAGAGAACTTTATATTCGCAACATCCAGTTCCCTTGTTATACTTGTGTTGAAAGTCATAATCCGATTCCGAAATGTTCTCCAGACCAGGTCACCCGCCTTTTTTGGATAAACATTTTCTTTCTTGAAATTTATTTGTAAGCAAAAGGACATGAAACTATTTGCGAAATAAAATTTAACTAATTTATCGTGGCATGTAACATATTATGTTGAAAAGAATTCACTCAAATACCACTCTACAAATGATAATTTTATTTGAAAAAAAAAAGAAAAAAGTATTTCTACATTTCTGCCGTGGGGATGCTATTTCACCATCAGCCCCTCCACATTCTCTCTAATAAGTACACTCCCTTAACACACAGAAACACAAAACACATAACAGACATTGTATAAATATTTTCTTTCTTGAAATTATGTAAGCAAAAGGATATGAAACTATTTGCGAAATAAAATTTAACTAATTTATTGTGGCATGTAACATATTATGATGAAAAAAATTCACACTAATAATACTCTACAAATTTTATCTGGAAAAAATTGGGAAGAAAAGTATTGCTAAATTGCTGCCGTTGGGGATGCTATTTCACCATCAGCCCTTTCCCATTCACTCTAATAAATACACTCACTCAAAACACACAAACACAAAACACATAACAAACATTGTATAAATATTTTCTTTCTTGAAATTTATGTAAGCAAAAGGATATGAAACTATTTGCGAAATAAAATTTAACTAATTTATTGTGGCATGTAACATATGTTGAAAAGAATTCACACAAATACCACTATACAAATGATAATTTTATTTGAAAAAAAAAAAAAAAAGTATTTCTACAGTTCTGCCGTGGGGATGCTATTACACCATCAGCCCCTCCACATTCTCTCTAATAAATACACTCACTCATACAAAATACAGAAACACAAAACATTACCAATGCCCATAAAAAGCGGAACAGGGGAATCTGATACTTGCTACCGTCTCCGAGATCCGTTCTTAAATCCGGCGGCATGCCTACACGCTCTCTGTATAGAGCCAAGGTATGACTCTACTCTATTATGTGGGACACATCGAGCAACCTTTCCCTGCATAAGGGGAATCTTCGCGGGCTTTGCAATTCTCCTGTTATTAGTTATACAGTAACTTGTAGAAGAAGTTACGTCAGACGTGCTCATATTTAATTATAAAACGTTTACATCTCATACTTTTTGGGATATAAGAAAATCGGTTTAAATACTAATTATCCATTTATAAATCTAAGAAATGTGTTTACTAAAGAACGAAAAAATATGGCAGCCATATATGCATAACAACATCATCGAAACATAACAAGCATCATTTATACCTTAGCCTCATCTCTTCAGTTTCTGAAATACAGTCTCAGGATCAGGAAAAAACTAGTTGTAATAAACTTTTATAATTTTTCTTTATTTGATTGAAAATTTTTAAAAACCTCTGGGTTTATTGAAAATTGTTTCACCTAATCCTACCATAATAAAAAATATCATGCTCATTTTGATTACAGGATGGCGGAATAAACAACCGTCGGGCGTTTCACATGCAAAAAGTAAGCTACGTATATTGACTTAGCCCTAAAACAAAAGTAGTTCCAAAGCCAAGTTAGAACTTCGAATCCAATTCAAAAAAACAAGAAACTTTTCTCAATAAAATACCTAATTCTTTCAAAACCTATAAAATGATGGATGATACTGACATCTTATCCTTGCGCAGTGCATGGGTTTACAATGTCCCTATAGAATTTCATTATCCCCTAGAAAACATTAATATGTAGAATAGATAGGATGTTATCCTTTTCATTCCTAAATATACATACTCGTTCCAATCCTAATAGTTATTTAACGACTTGGAATTTGCATATCACTGGCGTTACTACCGAAAAAAGGTGATTAATTACAGCAAACGAACTTTTTAAAAACCAAATGCTTATTCAGGACTATCATACTTTCGTGAAAATAAACGTTGAAAACGAGCAACCGATACAATTTCTGTGTGGAAAATTATATTTTTCCATTGTACGCAAGATTATTTAAGGACAATAGGACAAAGTGGAATAGGCCATTTATAGCTCAATTTTGATCTTGAATACTGTACCACTCTGATGCAATAAAACCGTTAAATACGGCGAAAGAAGAAAAGACAATCTCAGATTTGGTGGTCTGCGGGTAGATAAAAGTATCGTTTGATAGTTACTTATCATCCTGGTCCGCCCATCCTCACTGATTTTTTGTTACCCCAAACGCGTTTCGGCATTTCTCCATTTTCAGTGTTTGGGTGATTTTCTGCTGAATTCAACATTTGAACAAAAAGCATCGAGGACAGGCACGTCCGGGTGATAGGTAATAATCGAACCATAATTTTTCAGATTTGTTACAGCGGTGCGGCATAGTTTTCTTTTTCTATACGCAGTACTGGCTCTTGTTTTATTTCAATATTTTAAATCATTTATGATTATATGTTACGCCCCGAAAAGGACGCGTATATAGTCAAACACTTATAGGATCTAGAACATTAAGAAATTATTAATTTACTATGTTCGGAAGAGAATGCTGAAGAACTTGGCCAAATTTTTCTCTTCTCAATTAATTTATATATATATTTATATTATATGGAAGCTAAATAGTAATCATGAACATTTTTGCTTATTTCAATTAATTAATCTTTTTATGTAAAGTGTTGGTTGAGATGGAAAAGTAATTGTTACGAGCGGGATTCGAACCCACGACCTTCCGCTTAATGCGCCGCTGCTCTAACCACTGAGCTATCGTGACTTCACGGAAGTGGTTCGAGCAGCGGCGTATCGAGCCGAAGGTCGTGTGTTCGAATCCCGTTCGTGACACTAATTTTTCATTTCAAGAACATTAAGATATTATTAAGCCAATCTGTTCGGAAGAGAATGCTGAAGAACTTGGCCAAATTTTTCTCTTCTCGATTAATTTATACGTATATTTATATTATATGGAAGCTAAATAGTAATCATGAACATTTTTGCTGATTTCAATTAATTAATCTTTTTATGTAAGGTTTTGGTTAAAATGAAAAATTAGTGTCACGAGCGGGATTCGAACCCACGACCTTCGGCACAATACGGCGCTGCTCTAACCATCTGAGCTATCGTGACTTCGCGGAAGCGGTTAAAGCAGCGACCTAGTGAGCCGAAGGTCGTGGGTTCGAATCCAGCTCGTGACACTTTTTCATTTCAACCAAGACTTACATAAAAATATTAATTAATTGAAAGAAGTAACTTGGTTAATCAGACCACTAAATATAATGGACTTTTACTGATGTCTATGCTGTTAAAAAGTTAGATTGAGTCTGTTTTGAAAAAATGCCTACCGTTCAACTGGGACCTTCTTGGACTGCAAGACGATGGAAGCGTCAGCTTTGGAATTGACCTCTGATGAAGTAGGGATTGTATGTAAAGGTTGTCCTTTTCGTGAATTCAAGAGCCTTCTTTCCGAATCCTCATTGGCGTCGCTGTTGTCATCATTGATAACGTTTTTAGATAAATCATTTTCTCGATATTGATGACATTCATATTTTCCCATTGAAGCTTTTTATACAAATAGTATCGTAAAAACATTTCTTTGTACTGACTGATTGTAGAAATTAGATGAAACACTATATTTTGGGCCACGATCTTCCTCCAATGACAAACGTCTCTAGTGTTAGCGAGCCAAAAACACAAAAAATCTTTGCCCAAGAATTTTTTCAATTTTTAGATCCAGATTTCTATTCCACCATAGGAAGTATAAAGCACTAACGTAAGATTTCTCTATGTCTAAAAACGGATCTAACATACCAACCCAGCGAAGATAGGCAAACTAAAATTATCGGCAACGATTTCACTAACTAATGAATTTATTTCTATTACAGAAATCGACTCTCGAGGTTTTCATGAAAGCGTTTTCGATGGGATCGGCGACTATCTTCCATCAAGGCCTAGCGATTATTTCAAATATCTGTACAAGTAAGTAGAAACAACGAGAAAACATATCAATTAGGCAATTTACATAAGCCAGGTTTTCCTTGGGATCTTATACAGCGTGCTCGGCTACTCGTGTTACAAACTTTGCCGGTAGATTCTACATTCAAAATGGAACCAGAAAGTACTAATTAATGGCTCGAATCTCAACAGTTTCGGAGTTATTCCCCTTTTTTTCTGATTTTTTAAGATTTGACGACGTTGTTTCAAATAAATAACGATAACTCCAAAACTAAAAAGTATTGGGCAAATTCATTGATACTATTGAAAACTACGTTAAATTTCCAATAACATGTGATCAATACTAAACTTGTAAACGTTGGTGAAATAAACGTTTTAGTAGCCATAACTTTGAAAAATACTTTTTTTTTTTCAAAGTTGAAAAACTTTCTATGGTGATTCTTAACTTTCCAAACCTAGAGATCAGCAAATTTCAGAAAACGTACTTCATTTAATATCCTTTTAGTGGTGTAATATCTTTTTTAATTACTTTTTTCAAAGATAAAGAAACTAATGAAGGAAAGGAAAAACCGTGGTTGACGGATTGGTAAGTTGGAAAGATTAAAAAAAAATATTTTTATTACTGTTAATCTTTCCACCTTACCAATCCGTCAACCACGATTTTTTCCTTTCATTCATCAATTTCCGCATCTTTGACAAAAGTAATTAAAAAAGCAATTAGACCATTAAAAAGGACATTAAATTGAGTACGTTTTCTGAAAATTGCTGGTCTGTAGGTTTGGACATAGTAGTTTAGAATCATCATAGTAAGTAAGCAATTAAGTTAAAAAAGTATTATTTTTTAATCTTTCCACCTTACCAATCCGTCAACCAAGGTTTTTTCCTTTCCTTCATTAATTTCTTTGTCTTTGATAAAAGTAATCAAAAAAGCAATTACACCACTAAAAAAGATATCAAATGGAGTACGTTTTCTGATATTTGCTGGTCTCTATGTTTGTAGATAGTAGTTTAGAATCACCATAGTAAGTTTTTTAACTTTGAAAAAAAAATTATATTTCAAAGTTATGACTTCTAAAACGCTTATTGGAAATTTAACCGTAGTTTTCAATGGAATCAACGGATTTGTCCAAAACCTTTTATTTTTTGGGTTATCATCAACTCGTCAAATCTTGAAAAATCAGAACAAAAGGGAATAACTCCGAAACTGTCGAGATTCGGACTATAATTAATTAGGACTTTTTGGTTCCATTTTGAATGTAGAATCTACTGGCAATGTTTGAACACGAGTAGCTGAATCCCTGTATATAACAAAACATAAAAATAATAATATGCCTTTTTAATAGTTTATATATTATTCCTGCTTTATATTATAGTGCCAGCGAAATTGCTTTTAGAAAGTATATTGATATATATCGACTAATATGGGTCGGTATTTTATCCACTTGGAGGCTATTTTAAATAAAATTTACTTTTTATGTTTTTACGTATGCGTGTATTATGATTTTTTCCCAAACAGAGACTTTTTTGTCAGATTGTCCACAACGCTAATTTCCGATGTTGCCATCGTTCCTTTTTATTTCCTTCCAGAAGAGCTTTCAATCCCGCGTTTGCGGGATAAGTGGGAGGGTGAAGGAGTGAGGCTGAGGAAATGACCTGTCTGGGAGATAAGGCCCCCCAAGACGATTGTATCCGAGACAAATATTCAGTCATAATTACTAACCGGACAATTGTTAATAAACTAACGGTGATTTTAGCAGAACTAATACAGAAAATGTATTACAATAAGTTTTCTGTTGGAAAAAAAACCATCACTTTCATTTTGTATGAAAAACCAGTCTGACGTATAAGTACACAATGCGATTTTTATGTGCACGTGTACGTACGGTGTAACGCATTGTGCCTACTATTAAATCGGAAAATTAAATTAAAAATGATATTTAATTGGTTAAGTTATATTTATATCCTGAGCCAGAAAAAATAATAGTACAATAAATGTAGCATACTGATCTTCTAGCTTGAAAACGTCAGTATTAGCTGGTGATCATAACGTATAAAAAGCAGTTTAAAAAAAAGATTAGACAATAATGGTAAACAAGGAGTTACAAAATATCTCTAGCAATGGCAAGTTATACTATTAAAATTTTCTTTTTTTTTAGGACTGGGGAAGAGAACGGTTATAGAGGGTTGTACAGAAAGAAGAGGTCTCTTCAGTCGAAGTCTAAAGTCGGCAAAACTGAAAGTAGAAGTGAAGAATCTGAAAATGAAAAACAGCTGGAAAATAGGCAGTCTAACACGGAAAAAAGAAGCCTGGGCGGGAGGTATGTTCGAGGGATGGAAATGGGTTCATCGGGATTTCATGGCGACACTTTTAATTCTGGTTTTGGTGATTTTATGACGATGAGAAAAAGAAAGGTTGGAGCCTATAAAGGAAATGCAGATTTGACAAGACAAATAATGATGCAGATCAGAAAGAAGGCGTTGGATAACCAGGCTGTCCTTGGCGCTACATATAAAGGAGGTTTCGGAGATTTCTACGGGGCAAAAAAATCCAGCAAGGGTTTGAACCAGCGGGAATCTGGTTTGATGAGCTTCGATGGAGAAACTGGAGAAGAAAACACAATGAAAAAAAGAAGGCCCGAAATGGATTCAATGGGGTTCCATGGGGACACTTTTGGCAATGGTTTCGGAGAATTTGATACAATGAAAAAAAGAAGACCCGAAATGGATTCGATGGGCTTCCATGGAGACACCTTTGGCAATGGTTTCGGAGAATTTGATACAATGAAGAAAAGAAGACCGGAAATGGATTCAATGGGTTTCCATGGGGACACTTTTGGCAACGGTTTCGGAGAATTTGATACAATGAAGAAACGAAGACCAGAAATGGATTCAATGGGCTTCCATGGGGACACCTTTGGCAACGGCTTCGGAGAATTTGATACAATGAAGAAAAGAAGACCGGAAATGGATTCAATGGGATTTCATGGCGATACGTTTGGAGGTGGTTTTGGCGAATTCGAGACCATGAAGAAGAGGAGGCCTGAAATGGATTCAATGGGCTTCCACGGGGACACTTTTGGCAATGGTTTCGGAGAATTTGATACAATGAAACGTTCACACGAAAAAGATTACCATTAAAATTTATCTAGATTTTATTATGTAAATAATTCCATCCTCGTATATTGTTTAAGTGATTTTTCTCGAAATTTAATATCAAAAGAATTAATCGATACTTATTATATGGTATTCGAAATCTTACATATCTGCATGTATCGAGATATTATAAAATAATATAAAGTACAAATGAAGCATAAAAAGAAATGAATGAACTCGTTGTGTTGAAATTTTTTCAAATAATTTAATTTGATCACAAAGATTATTATCCATATTATTTTATTTGATAAATTATAAACTATGGACTTTAGAAATTGGTTTTAATTAATTTTTGTCTTTATAATTATATCAACAAATTCTTGAAAAATTCACTACGAAAAAATAAAAAATTGTAGCGGTTGTAATTTCCCATAGCCCCCTATTTATCCCACCGACAAACATACAATACATAAGAAAAAAACATCGGTGCAAAATCTACTACTAATACAAACTCTACATTATTTATTTTAATGTTTACAAAAGGAGGTTTTATTTCAAATATTAAACTCCAAATCACTATATTTGTTTACAATTTGTTAATATAATTTTAAATCGTTTGATTTCTGTTGTTATGCCCTCTGGTCAGTCAATTGCTGAAAAAAAATCCAAAAATAAAAGATACTTTGATTAAATAATTTTTTCCCTAAAATAGTGCCTGGGTGATTTAAAAAACAAAATTTCTGTTTTAAGACAACATAAAACAATAATGGATCGCCAACTGGTTAACCTTAATTGGCCAAAACATCCACAATACTTAAACCAATAGTAAGTCAAGTCTAAGGTAAGTCATACATGCTTACGACGAACATCAGTTGAAAATACGTGAAGTCCCCTTCCAAGAAGCACAATCTATATCAAATGAAGTAACAGGCGTAAGTAATTTAATTACAGTTTATTAAGTCGTTGCCACACGAGCTCAAAAGAGGTGGTAATTAAAAATATTAAGGAGTAGAGAAAATGTTAAAAGCTCAGGACGAGCTAGGAAAAAAGAGTGGAAACAAAAGCAATTAGCATAGCATAAATATTTCAAAGACCAAAAGGTCACGAGGTAAGGCCTTGCTCAACGACATCTATGGAAATAGTTTCAAAAGCTTAATTTACAAGCTTTTGATAGGCAGACGGGAGGACGTGGTTCTTCATATATGAATCTGTCGTTGAACAGACTTATGCTAATGTGACCTATGAACCTTAATAGTCTATGGACTAGTATGTGTACCTCAAAGCCTGAATTTATGCCCTGGTTTAATTAATGGATCGAGAAGTGCTACCCGACTACAACTTTTCTGAATCAGTTACAGGACAAAAGTGGTAAAAAAATAGCGCATTCTTAGATTTGTCAGATGCCAGTTAGAAAAGAAACGAAGGTTAAAATACAGTCAAGGCCGGTTCTACCAGCAGACACAATATATTCTATAATTGCATATCCTCATTGCTTAAGGGAGAGTAGTTGCTGAAATTACCAACTCATTGAGTGAAATAACGAGGCTCCAAATAATTTAGCTCTTCAACGAGGCGATCTGAATCCTTTTGAAGTTTAATGTTTGCCATCCTAATGTTCAAGCCCTTTTTTGATTTGCTGTGGACTTTTTTTTTAATTTTCAAAACTATTTTGTCAATTTTAATTTGTCAATATAGTAAGTATTAAAATTCTGGTGGAAAATCACGCCATGTCAACACTTATTACATGAACTTCATTAACAACTGATTAATTAATTTAACTGCGGAGACGAAGGATTAAAATTTGCAACTGCTGAATCGACAGGATTACTCTGAATTGAAATAGTGCACATAGCAGATCTACAACAGTTTTTCGGTCTTATCTGTTTTAATGAATCGTGCATTGTTGAATTTTAAAGAGCGAGAAGCAAGACAATCTTCTGGGGTCGTTCAGCAAGCCTAGGGATCCGAATATTTTATGTACCCGGGACAAGCATAGCAGGGTTGGACGAAAGTATATTGAAATTCAACGTGTGCTTTTTGTAGGATAACACTCCTTTGGGACACTTTTTTCCACTGTAGAGTAATACCATAATTTAACCTCATTCCCGTAGGATCGGCACTTCCAAATAAGTGAATACCACATACGATCTTTAATATGAAATGATTTATTATAATTATAACACAATTCGTGAAATCAAACAACAAAGTTTAATTGTTATTATTACCAGTTGTCAATTGTAACTGTTTAATTTACGATTTAATAAAATACAAAATGTTTAGTTGTTTGTTGTTACATATAGCCTATAAAAATACAATGACAGTCAAAAAATTCCGCCCACTTGTATATATCTTGTTTTGTATATATTTGTATATATTAATCAAAATTTCGCGGTTTTAAAGTTTAATAATTGAGTCTTTGTCTAAATAAAGTAAAAAAAAGAAATGTAAATTGCTAAAGAAAATGAAAAAAAAAATACGGACAGATTTTGTTTTAGATATTTAATTAACATTTCAATATCGCGTATTTCCTCCCCTTGCCTTTGTCCAAAAAAGCAAAAACAATGTAAATTTGCTAAGGAAAATGAAAAATAAAATTGAAATTTTTTAAAAAAGACGGATAGATAAAATTTGTTTTTATTTTGCTTTAGATTTTGAACATTTCAATATCGCGTATTTCCTCCCCTTGCCTTTGTCCAAAAAAGCAAAAACAATGTAAATTGCTAAGGAAAATGAAAAATAAAATTAAAAATTTTTAAAAAAGACGGATAGATAAAATTTGTTTTAATTTTGTTTTAGATTTTTAATTAACATTTTAATATCGCGTATTTCCTTCTCTTGCCTAAATTGCATCTCGAAGACGTCTCGGTATAGTTTCTACCAGCCTGGAAATGGCTCTTTGCTGGAGGTTTGCCCATTCTCCACGAAGTTCTTTCAAGATCGTGGAGTGTATCAGGCAGTGATGGACGTGTTCTTATTCGTCTTTTGAGGTTATCCCATAAATGTTCGATGGGGTTCAAGTCTGGAGAACGGGCTTACCAGGCTAAGACCATGATATTATGCTGTTGAAGGTACGTTTGAACTATGCGAGCGACATGTGGACGGGCATTTTCGTCCATTCGAATAGGATTGTCGCTGATTTCATCGAGGATAGGCAACGCACGATGTTCCAAAATTTCATCCACGTAGTGAGTGGCCGCCAAAGACTCTCCACGAACAACAACCAAATCTGTGCGACTCTCCATTGAGATTCCCACGCCATCACTGAGCTACGTTGAAAAGGGCTCTGAGAAAAATTACAGGCTTCGTACCTTTCATTTCACATTCTCCACGATCTTTCACGCCCATCTGGAGATCGTAGAGCAAATACACTCATATGTAAGACCTATCGTCCAAAGACCAACGGCTGTCGTCTAGAGCAAATGCGAGCCGTGCAACTCTATGCGTTCTGGTCAATTCTGGTCCTCTTGCTAGGCGAAAAGCCATCAGTCCATACTGATTTACTCTTCTTTGAGCAGTGCGTTTAGAAATTTGACACCTCGAACTTCCTGGAGCTGATGAATCGCTCGAACCACGGTTTCACAAAATTCTAAAAGTCAAAAAACGGTCATCCTGCGGTTCTCCTAGGGCGTCTAAAACCGGGCCTTCTATGGTAGGATCCAGTTTCTCGAAAACGTGTAACAGCGTTTCGTCCATCATCAATAAATGCCACACGACGCACAACATCCTCATCACTAAAATGGCATTTTTAAGTTTAAAAATTGAAATTAAGAAAAGAAAAATGAAAACTAGACAGTTGATTGCTTCAGAATTCAAATGAGACTGAATAAACACTTTAAATTCCGTAAAATTAAACATTGAAAAATCATTTATCCATGTTTTGGATTATGGGTTAAGTGTGTTTACCTCTAATTGATATTCCCAAATTAAAACATAGCACAAACAAATATTTATTGAAAAAAAAACAATGAGCCAAATTAAGGGCAGAATTTTCTTCTATTGAGAAAATGAAAAAAATCAATTGGGTGGAATTTTTTGACTGTCAGTGTATATAAATAGATTTAGAGAGTTGGATTGGGACATCGAGAAAGGGCGACCTGCGGCTCATAAACTGATATTAGCAAGTTGTCGGTTTTTCCCCAAGACTCATCAGAAACGAATGGGAAAAGTGTATGAAATCAACAAAATTACTACTAAATAGCTGAATAACTGAATGAGAGAGATGAATAAAAGGGACATAGAGAGAGGAAACTGAGAGAAAGGCAGATGCTCACCCCATCGGAAATAAAGAAATTTGAAATGCATGTCAAAGATGTACTTACTTTCAAAGACCAGTTCATCCAAAGAATTCACACTAAAAATTTGTTTTGACTTTTTAGAAGTAATCGTTTGCCGTTGGCTATAAAAATATCGTAATGTATTGGCTTTTACATCATGAACAAATTTCTATGATTTCATCTACGCTTTATGACAAGTTTTTCACATCAATTGATTTAATTGTGCACGTGGCAAAAGAACTAAAAGTGGGCACAAAGACGAGTTAATGCATGGCCCATTATTTTTACCACTGCAATGACTTTTACTCTAGAAGTGCTTAGCAGTGAAAAATTCACTAATAGAATGTTTCGTCTGAGCATAATAGTTGATTGACTTGTCACACTCGATGGCACTTATCATACTCGAACTGCACTATCTTTTCAATATAGTTTCTTATCATTATTTCAATATAATTTGTTTCTTTCACTGCTATTTTCTCTCCTCCTTGACCTTTTCTCTGTAAAAAAAAAATCAACAGTTCTTGTGAAAATAGTCAATGGGTTTTGTCGGTTAAGGGTGGTCAGCGATATCGAAGAAGTTACCTTCTTAAGAAGTACCCGTTTTTAAGTTCGTACTGGATTTAATACATTGTGAGATGAATGATTTACACAAATGGAAAACCCCAACTTGGTTAATTTGGCGTCAATTCGGTTTTAATTTTGTGCAGTTTTGAAAGTCCGCGAACTTTGAATCGGTTAGCCAATCTTAGTGTATTGGCCAAGAGGGAGAGGAGGCGGATGATATAGAACAGGATGGAATAATGACAAAGAGAGGAAGTAGTGATGATAAAGGCAGGCAGGATACCCCATTGGCTATATTGCCGTGGAACCCGACCTCCTTCTTAATCACTTATCGAGCCTTCACCTATCACCCTTATAAAAATAATATTTGAGGCCTATTTTTGAGGATTCTTGGATTTTAAGAGGATAGATTTGACCCACAGTTTGTGTGTGTTTCTTAAAATTAACAGATCTAGTAAATATAAGAAATATGACGAAATAAGGTACTTCAAAAGTAAAAGAGGTATCAAAACCAAAGATAGAATTCTTACCAGAATAGAATTTTTAAAATAAATCAATATTAGTAGTAGCTATTTATAAAGAAAAAATTAAATATCGTACATATCTCATTTTGTGTATAGTGAAAGTGAATGTATTTATTTGAGTGAATTTGTAGCGTGAGAATGTCGACAGTTGAATATTGAGTATTCCATTGACCCATAATTATTTTGATTATGTGATAAATAAGAAAATTCATAGCATTTGGTAGATAACTCGTTATGTGCTTCCTTTTGTGTATATTCAAAGTGAATGTATTTATTTGAGTGAATGTGTAGTATGAGAGGGTCGATAGTAGAATATTTAGTATTCCTTTCAATTAATTATTCTTTCTATGTAAGGTTTTGCTTGAGATAAAAAAGTCAGTGTCACGAGCGGGATTCGAACCCACAACCTTCGGCTAAATACGCCGCTGCTCTACCACTTGACTAACGTGACTTCGATCCACTCGGACACTAACTTCCCATCCCAACCCAACCTTTCAAATTTTCCCTCCTTTTTGCCATTTTTCAAATGTCGAGTAATCAGGATTCGATTCTCAGCGAAGTTATACTTGTTTTACTTATTAAATATTAATCTATTTATGTTTTAGTGGTCAATTGACTAAGGTACGTTTTTTAATTAATTATTCTTTTTATGTAGGGTCTTGGCTGAGATAAAAAGGTTGAGATGGAGAGTTGGTATACGAGAGGATCGAAGTCAGCTCAAGTGGTAGAGCAGGGTGTTTAGCCGAAGGTCGTGGGTTCGAATCCCGCTCGTGACATTGACTTTTTTATCTCAACCAACACCTTACATAAAAATAATAATTAATTGAAAGAAGTATCTTGGTCAATTGACCACTAAAACATAAATGAATTGAGTATTCCATTGACCCACAACTAAATTAATTATGTGATAAATAAGAAAATTCATAGCATTTGGTAGATATCTCATTTTGTACTTCCTTTTGTGTATATTGAAAGTGAATGTATTTATTTGAGTGAATGTGTAGTGAGAGGGCCGAGAGTTGAATATTGAGTACTCTACAATTATATTAATTATGTGATAAATATGAAAATTCATAGTATTTGGTAGATAACTCATTATGTGTTTCCTTTTGTGTACTTTGAAAATGAATGTATTTATTTGAGTGAATGTGTAGTGTGAGAGGGTCGTTAGTTGCATATTGAGTTAGGGATGGTAAATAAGAAAAGTCATAGCATTTGGTAGATATCTCATTTTGTATTTCCTTTTGTGTATATTGAAACTGAATGTATTTATTTGAGTGAATGTGTACCCATTGACCCACAATTATTTTAATTATGTGATAAATAAGAAAATTCAATAACTTTACAATCTTGACCACTGTGATTATTCAACTAAAGTTCATAATAAAAGAAATAAGTCAGTGTTTTTAATATTTTATTTTTCAACTACTAATAATTTAATAAATGTCTGTTATATACACCTTAGTATTAAGAAAAAACGTGGTCTAAAAAATCTAATGTAGATATATTATCTTGTATGCCATTATTTTAATCACCGAATAATCGTTTGGTCCGTCTAGTCACGTAATTAAGACTGTTTACAAAACATGGTAAGAACGGCATCTGACCATGAAATCACATGGTCAGCAAACAATGATAACAGATTTGGGTTGTCTTCTTTGTAAGTTTAACACATCGAACTATAATTTCGTGATAAGAGCCGATCAATTAATTTGGTATTTAGAAACACTGAATTTATAATTCAAATTAGAACTTCGAATTTAAACTGATGATAAAGCAATTATTATCTATATTATTTAGGTTGATGACTGTCCGAAAAACGCTACGTGGAAAAGACAAATACGTCAACAAAATCAAACACAGAAAATTTATTCCAATTTAGCTTCTGATGTTTGAGACGAATAATAAAACTGTTGACGCATCTGTGGATTTGTGAATAAAGTGAAAATAGTATTTACCTATGCGCCAGCCGCTTTTGGAATGTCCGTTCTAGTTTAGAAAACAAGTAAATGGAGAGGAGACCACTCTGTCTGATAAATATAAATACCGGATAACGGTAGATGGGAAATACCGAAATTTCAAATTGAATAGTATAGCAAATTTTTTGTCATCATAAACCAATTAAAAGCGTCTTATTTAAAATTAATATTTAAAAACAACACATACATATTATAATAACAACACAGCAAATCTTTAAAATATTGAATTACTTTAATTTTATGTGCTTATATTCATAAATACTTTACTTATAATAACGTCTGGTACCAACAACATGAGACATGAATCGTCTGCCCCTTGTGATGAGGAATAATATCTCTCGAAAAAATTGCTGCAGAAAAAAACTCAAATAGCATTAATCCAATTATGAGAAACCACAACATTCCACTTATATATTAACAACATCGGAGATGAATCGTTTGCCACTTGTGATAAGGAATATTATTTATCGAAAAAAATGCTGCAGAAAGAAAATCAAATAGCATGGTGCCAACATGTATTGACTTATGTACTAACAACATGAGACAAGAATCGTCTGCCTCTTGTGATGAGGAATAATATCTCTCGAAAAAATTGCTGCAGAAAAAACTCAAATAGCATTAATCCAATTATAAGAAACCACAACATTCCACTTATATATTAACAACATCAGAGATGAATCGTTTGCATCTTGTGATGAGGAATATTATTTCTCGAAAAAATTTCTCAAAAAAAAACACACCAAATAACATTAAACCAATGTTGATAAACTGCTCATTCGACTAAATCGACTTTGTTTCCACAACGAAAACGTAACTGAAATAACAACATTCCATTGGGGTGGAATGTATTAAATAATGCATCTGAGTTATTCTTCAGTACTTTTGAAACAATTGCTCGAATACAAACAATAAACTTTTTTTTTTAATTTTTTTTTATTGGCCTTATGATCGATCTTTGCATATTAGCCATGACGAATTCTTGTATATGTTGTTAAAATTGGGGGTTATCGGGAAAAAAGGGCCAGAGGCGACGGTGGGAATCGAACCCACGACCGCGGCGTGAGAGTCTCTCATGCTAACCACTCGGCTACCGCGGTCCCTACAATAAACTTAAAATTGGCCAAAAAATGATTCAATTTGAATAAAAGATTAAAGCAACTCGCTAAAAATCTAATAATTGTGCAATTAACAAATCAGCGTGTATGGAAGGAAATTACAAACTCTGACTTTGCAAAGGAATGAATTTTTTTAATTTATTGGATAACTGGTAGTGGGAAAACTAATTGTAAGACTTTTCCACCAATATCACCACAAAATGCGCTTTACGGATTAATTTCGATAATTCTACTGACCTTGGGTGTTTTTCCTAGAAAACGGGTGTCTCCAAACCGTATCCGTTCACAATCATGACAATATAACCGAACTACTAATAAAGCCTTCCGGTCAGATCGAAACTCACACACAGGCTAATAGACAAACAGTCTCCTCTAATCGTAAAAGGTGGTGACGATTCCAAATTTGGCAGCATCCTGGATACCGTTTTGAATTGGAAAAATAAAAAAACCTCCATCGCAGCGGTTGATCGCCAGCGTTAGACGAATGGATCCATAAATCATTGACCCCTCTATTCTTTATTATGTACGTTTAAAAAAAAGTAGAGGGGTGATCCGCGTGGGGGCACACAATCTCTCAGAAGACATTTCAGTCTGAACCGGAGTTGTCACCTCTGTTGGTCACCGCCACCCCGTGCTCTGCGGGTAAGTCAAGCCTTCATCGATAACATACCATCTCTTAAAAAGCATTCGACAGGAATTAAGTGACTTTTATATCTTTTTTCATCTCACACTTTATGGTCTTGCCAATTCGGTCCTAACATTCATTCTCGGAAACGCCTTTCAGTTAAATAGGCGCTTATCGCTTTTAAGTATGTAATATTAAGTTACAGTAGTCAAACCCGAAGTAATTACATATTACAAAACTAGGAATACAAATCAAACGTTATAATTTAAATGCAATCTTTTGGAAACAACTTATTTTTCTAACTGAACTGATTTCTGCCGAACAGTCAGAATTTTTATAATTAAAAAATGATAAATTTTTTTTTTTCATAGTGAATCGTGCGTGTGACAATTTTGATTGAATCAGTGTACGATAGCTGTTAAAACCAAGCCAAGATATGTGGAAAAGGAAGGGAAGTAGAGATAATTTTTCCAATATAAATTGGTGAAGTTTTAACGAAAAATAAACCAAAAATATATTATATGAGAATTGAGAGGCTTTTAAGTTTACAAACAGTAGTTAATTTTGCACTTGACAAAAAGAAAAGCATATCATTTTCTTTCACATTCTTTTATAATCTGGAAACTCACCATAAGGGATGAAATAATTGTATCTTAAAAAAATACAATTGGGAAATTTCTATGTTAACTTAATAGTACAATTAGTAATAGAGTTAAAAGTGTTTATTCTTCAGTATTAAATCAATCTTATTTTTGGATATTTACACCGGGTAAAAATCATTAGAGCCGCGTGTAGAAATCCGTTTATCCGGACTTGAAGGGACCGGGACTTGTCCGGATGATCGAGAGTCCGGATAATCCGAAAATTTGCGATTTTATTTTAGTATCGTGTCATAAAAACGGAAAAAACATACGAAAGTGAACACTTTCCATTCATATATCATGTAACATTTAAACTAATAGATAGGTTTTATTAGTTAACTGTCACTAATCACCACTCACACGTTTTTATTAGTTTTATTTTTGTGTAAGTCCTGACACGCGTTTCTCGAAAAATTTACACGTAAAAAATACCTAATAAAAATATACGTAATAAAAAAACCTTTTCAATGGAAGCCAGCATACGAACAACACGAGACAACAATTTCGAGTCTTTTAAAATAGTATACACCTTTTCTTATTTATTTATTTATTTTTTTAATAAAAACGTGCCTCTTCGATCGTCTGACTGGTGGAAGGGCGATTTGGTGGCCTTTACGAATTTCGAACGACGAATTAAAAGGTCCCATAGTTGAATTTTTCAATTTTTAATTTTAAAAAATTAGGGGGTGTCGGTGGCCGCAACGGTTTAGGCGTTGGCACGGCGCTCATCACTGTAAGGTAAAGGTCCCGGGTTCGAATCCAGCGGCCCTGCATTCGTACCCGACATACTTACAAATGGGCTTTTTTTTTTCAAAAAACACCGGCACCCTAAGGGTTTATATGACCTCTGCTGTTGCGAACCCTCGTTAAAAAAAAAAAAATAAATAAATTTAAAAAAATTATAGTGATTTAGTGATCATTAATTAATAATTATTTGGAGATCGTGGGACTACCACTACACACTACTATACCAAACCGCATCTCACGACCTCCAAATAAGTTATAAAAAATATTTTAACAAACGGCTCCGTATAAACGGGTTTTCCACTGTATTACAACTTTATAACATGTATTATTTTAGGGGAGGCGGTGTAGCAGAGGGATAACAGGATGAAGAAAATGTTCATACGACACCTTCTTATAAGGCGACGTCCTGAAAGGTAATCTATCAAAACTTTTAAATTTCAACGACCTGAAAAAAATCTAAATATATTTTAAAAATTGTTTATTAGCAAAATAGTTCAGTCATCAATTTTACAATTTATAAAATGGCATAATTTAGTAATGGAATAAAATCATAACGACTAGAATTCTTTTGACACTATTTGAAGGATTATCCTGAGGTGGTTTAATGCGCCTAAATAACAGGATAAACACTAATTTTTTTACGATTTGCACTCTTGTTCAAAAATTAGGACCATGACATGAATCAGATATCTGCAATTGGTGTGTAAAAGCTGAGAAGAGGTACTAAATTAATAACAATGGCATGACAAAGAAATTTAAGTTTTGCTATGAACAAATATTTTTTAATTAGCAATATAATAATTATAATAATTGTTTATGTTTAACTAGAATTGGTATGGAGAATCTAACTTTTTTATATATAAATACGAAAGGACAGACAAGTGTAAATAGAAACGAGATTGTTTTTAAAAAAAATACATATAATGATTATAAACGTATTTGGTACTCTTCAAATTCCAGTTTTTCATCTTTTGCGAATGCAGTGGAATTTAAATTAATAGTTTGTTAAATCAATTATATTTAGTGGTTCATTGACCGAATTCTACTCTTTCAATTAATTAATCTTTTTATGTAAGTCTGGTGTGACGTAGGTTTTAGAACAACATTTTCTTCATCATGCCAACGTTTCGATCTTTATTGCGATCATCTTCAGGGCTCAAAGTGTTTGTTTTTCACGTAGATGTGTCATTATTGTGTGTCGTGTTGAGAGTATCCTCACGAATGACATGATTACACGGAAAACAAACACTTTGAGCCCTGAAGATGATCTCAATAAAGGTCGAAACGTTGGCACGATAAAGAAAATGTTTTTCTAAAATCTACGTCACACCAAACCGATCTCGATCTCCAAATTACTTGGAGATTTAATCATTGGCTAACGGTCACTAAACACCACACATTTTTATGTAAGGTTTTGTTAGAAATGAAAAAGTAGCTAGTGCCACGAGCGGGATTAAATTAATAGGTCAAAAATATATCAAAAATATATGCAATACAAGCGCTATCGCTGTATTCTAGGATGGCGAAAGTTGAGATTTTAATTGTATACAAATTTAATGTGTATTGGAGTATAGGTCAACCGAAATCTGTCTTAACGTAGATCGTATAATTACGGGTTTAAGAAGGGACTTTACGAATGAAATCTATTAATGTTGCAGAGATTCAATTATATCGTATCTTTATTTATATAGAGAAAGCGAGCCTATGAAAACTAGGGACCTCGATACAGGAATAGAATACTGTTGGCTTATAATCAACTAAATAGTATTCGAGACAACTAGGCCGTTTCTTTGTCATTATCGAGAAAAAAAACATTCACATTAAAAATTAAAAATTTCAATGACGTGAAATCTGGCAAAAGAAAAAAGAAATTAGTGTGCTCAAACCGGTTTACCTGCTTTTAATAACATTTGATTATAAAAAGCAAAAAATATATAAGTACACATTCTTTCAAGATAGTAATTTCTAATGACAAGAAATGTTTATTTATCACATTTACATGATTAAATCACTAGAATAATGAGCAAACAGTAATGAAAAGAGATCCATTAATTAATTGAGAAATTTATACTTATTTCATCAATTTAAAAATCCGAGATTGAAAACGTCAGAATCGTCTATGATTTCGGCAATTTCTGGTCGAATGTATTTTTTGTTTAAATAAAATCTCTGTATCAATTTAATCCAAACGTGGAGATTGAAAATGTCGTTGACGAAATTGTGTCGTTTAATCGAAGGCGGGTCGAAACGGGCTTTTTCACATTTACAACTTTTGCACTTCAGGAAAATGTCAAGCCACTCAATTGGTACGTAGATGTAACGAGGGAGAACGTCTCGAAAACTATTTCCTTCTATGTGATAGATCAACTCGTAGGAGATGTCGGAGAAGTTGGCGTCCCAGACGTAGCAGGTGTACTTGTCGTAAAGCCTCTCTTTGAAGACACAATGCAATTTTATAATGTTGTTTATATAAATCTGTCTGCATTTGAGCTCGAGAGGAAGTTTAGGGGGGTACAACACTCCGGTGTAAGTTTCGACAAAATATTTCATGCTGAGACCGAGATCTCCCAGAACACTATGCCAGTTACCTTCCTTCCAGTTCTTCCTAAACTGGAGGATGGCCTTGACGTCCGCCTTCCGGATGTCCGCCTGGGTCCTCGCATTTTCGTACTCGATGTCGTGCAATTTGGCTATTCTGTCGTCCTCGTCCACCGGGTCGCCGCTGTCGATTTTGTTCCCGGGGCCGATGTACCTGTGGAACGGTAAAACCGGCATTTGCTGGTAAACACTCTCGGCGGACGAGAGAAAAAAATTAATATAAAATTTGTTAACTGATTTCTCTGATGGATCGACAACGACTGAAAGTTTTTTTCATGTCAAGGACGACGTCGACTATATCAAGGAGTGGGGCGTCCAGTCAAGAAACTGGTTATTTTTGTTCAGTTTTAAAGATAATGTGTATCTTCTTATTCTTTCATATACTTGATTATAACGCACAACAAGAAATGATATACACGTGTGAATATTTTCAAAATTAATTTAATTTTTTTGAAGTTCAACATAACTCGCATCACGCAAGCGTTTATTTCACTGCAGACTTGGGTTATCTGCCTGATGATAATTCTCAGCCAGATCACATAACACATTATATTAAAAATAATTTAAGCGAGTTAACAAATAATAAGTGAAGTTAAAAAAGTAACGAGCATTAGCGCATTGAATGTTTTACTCGTTATTCCAATTAAAACGTCTCAGAGCTATTTCAAGTCGCAAGTTGTAGCTGCATGCTGCATTAGTAGATTTTTTTTTTTTCCTTTGGAAATATTGCCATATGATTTTTTTTTAAAGTATTATCTTCATTAGTTTAGTAGGTTTTTTCTCTCTTCTCCCAGACCTTAAAAAGAAATGCTAATTGATTTAATTGATTACATTTGAAAATCTTTTTTTCCTTTGGAAATATTGCCATATGATTTTGTTAAAAAATTTTCTCTTCATTAGTTTAGCAGGTTTTTCTCTCTTCTCCCAGACCTCAAAAAGAAATGTTAATTGATTTAAGAAATTTGTAAATCTTTTTTTCCTTGGCTTTTTCCTTTGGAAATATTGCCTTATGATTTTGTTAAAAAAATTTCTCTTCATTAGTTTAGCAGGTTTTTCTCTCTTCTCCCAGACCTTAAAAAGAAATGTTAATTGATTTAAGAAATTTGTAAATCTTTTTTTTTCCTTGGCTTTTTCCTTTGGAAATATAAAAAGAAATGTTAATTGATTTAAGAAATTTGTAAATCTTTTTTTTTCCTTGGCTTTTTCCTTTGGAAATATTGCCGTATGATTTTTTAAAAAGAAATGTTAATTGATTTAAGAAATTTGTAAATCTTTTTTCCTTAGATTTTTCCTTTGGAAATATTTCCTTATGTTTTTTAAAAAGTTTTCTCTTCATTAGTTTAGTAGGTTTTTCTCTCTTCTCCCAGACCTTAAAAAGAAATGTTAATTGATTTAAGAAATTTGTAAATCTTTTTTTTTTCCTTTGGAAATATTGCCGTATGATTTTTTTTAAAAAGTATTAGCTTCATTAGTTTAGTAGGTTTTCTCTCTTCTCCTAGACCTTAAAAAGAAATGTTAATTGATTTAAGAAATTTGTAAATCTTTTTTTCCTTGGCTTATTCCTTTGGAAATATTGCCTTATGATTTTTTTAAAAGTTTTATCTTCATTAGTTTAGTAGGGTTTTTCTCTCTTTTCCCAGGCCTTAAAAATAAATGTTAATTGATTAAGAAATTTGTAAATTAAATCCAAAACCGTCATGATATTATTTGCCACTAGCGTCCAAATATACTGGAGTCACTACAAATCATTCAATAATTGTTTCCTCTGGTTTATTGTACTCTGGACATTCTAGTATTAGACGACTGGGATTTGATGGACTGTCGCATGTTAGGCAGTTGGAGGAAGTGCTTAATCCAATTCCATGCACGTAACTCCCCCACAGGCCATGGTTAGTTTTTATTCTGAAAATAGTAGAATAGAATTCCTTTTGCCTCCCTTCAACCGAAAACCACGATTTTGCTTTAATGCTCGATAGTACTCGCCAGTTGTTGCTGAGCTGTATTCGTTATCCCGTAGATTGGAACACAATTGGTTGAAAAAATTTTTACCGTCTGTTTTAGGAATTTTCATCTGATGGTATACACCAGACAGTGGCCTCCTTCGCCAATGCATCCACTGTTTCGTTATGATGAATACCTGCATGACTTTAACCCAGCATATTATGACATTTTTTCCAGCTTTTTTTAGTTCAAAGATCTTTCGATAAACATCCGCGATGATATAATTATTAACTTTACATCTTGGGGTTACCTAACTTATGCTATCTACAGCGCTTCGAGAGTCCGTTAATATGCAGAATTTAGTTTCATTCCTTTCTTTAATGTATTCAAGCGCTTTAGCCATAGCGGTTAATTTGCTGTGTAAACAGTGATTCGGTTTGGAAGAGCGTACTGTTCTTTATGTTCGCTTTTGTAATCGAAAATAGCGCACCCTAACTTGCCATCCAAGAGTGATCCATCAGTAAAACTTTGCAGGTGGTCTGGATAGTTGTCAGCCATGTCTGCTATTCCATTTCTACTAAGTGTTGAGCGGACTTCGAGAAGTCTTTTAAAAACACTGTCAATGTAGAAAGGCTAATGTGGGGTCTTTTTTTGTTCCAGTACTTGCAGGCTTGAACTTTATTAGTAGATTCTCGTACAAAACAAGTTCGTGGAGGCGCATCCATAAATCTATACCAAGACATCCATGACTTAAAGAAGATGGAGATCCTTGTGAAGCATTACAAAGGAGGGAGCACTGATTATAAACCACATTACGCAACAGTAGTACCAAATTAGTGCATTACATTCAGGAAAGTCGCCAGGCGCGTATATAAACCAAATATAAAAAAAAATCCTAGCACGATTACAATAGTCCACGAGGATCGATCACTAAATTTAAACAGAAGGTCTTTGACTGACATCTTCGTTTTAACTAATTTTTATAATTATACGGTTTGCAACAGAACGTCATGTCAACCCACCGAAGCCGGTATGTTGGGTTTGAATTCAGGGATGCTGGGTTCAAACCTGGGACCTTTACCGGCTAAGGCCACACCGGAGGTGACAAGCTAGGTGCCTAATGACAAGGCGAATCGCTTGGTGAGTCACCCAAGAATACGAACAGTGTAGAATACTCGAGGACGGCCACACTAGCACGTGGATGCATAGCGATTCACCAAGTAAACGAGCGGGTCTGTTTTTTACCTGGCGGGTAGTGATTTCTGATCGTTTCATGGTGGACAAGGTTTTTTAAAAGACCTGCTCTATGGTATTTAAATGATGATCTCCACAAAAATCCTAACTACGCAATTGTCCATACAGCATTTTGAATTCACCTTCCGACATTCTTCGCCGATTAATGTCATGCACCCAACTCCTTGATTTATTCCCTAACAAATCATGTTACAATTTAGTATTTTCGGAAAAAAAGTTTTTTTAGCTAATTTAGAGAGAGACATTTCGGGCACTTCCTTACACAAAGCCCAAAGCACTACTAATTACTAAACGTCCTGGTGTGGCCGTTTGTAACCTGGCGACTCACTTTGCTGCTATGCACCTAGCTTGTCATCTCCGGGGTGGCCTTAGCCGTAACAGTGATGAGCCCGTGTCAAAGTTGCCGCAACCGACACCCCTTAAGATTCTTATGACGAATGTGTCAGGGGAGATGGGGGTTGATGATTGAACAGGAGTTCAAAACCTTGACAAACGCCTTTTTGCTATCAATGAACAATCCCAGCCTATTTTTTTCGTACATGTCTAATATGTTATCAATAATGGTATTAAGTTACTGTGAGCATATATAGTCCATGTTTGCTTAGTGGCCATTATTTTCCATACCGTCACGATAGCTCAAGTGGTTAGAGCAGCGCCGTTTGGCCAAAGGTCGTGGGTTCGAATCTCACTCATGGTACTAATTTTTCATCTCAACCAAAAAACCTTACATAAAAAAAAGAATATTCAATTGGTATATCTATAGTTTCGGCAAGAATCGTTCGAATTCTTTAGGCATGAGGGTAAGGAGGCTAACAAGGCGGTAGGAAGTAAAGATGTCTCGCTTTTTCCCCGGGTTGGAAATCATCACATAACCAGCACACAGCAAAAACATCTTGTACTACAGACTTTATGTTGTTTGTTTCCAGGTCTCGTAAAAAACAAGAAATCAAATGAGTAATCTCTCATATAATTTTATTTCTGTTTCAGTTGCGAGCGAGGATCGTTGCTTAAATCTGCACAAGGAGCAGTTTTCCTATGAGGAAACGTCAAGAAGCCGTTTAATATTGTTTAATTATATATCAACTATTATACGTTATAAACAAATTATTTTAGTCATCCCTACTATAGTCATATTATATTATTATTACTATTGTAAGAACTAGGATTAGTGTGTTAAAATTACAAATAATGTATTGAAAATATGTAAGTAATAATTTTAATTCACATTTAAACTTTGGTGGATGCAAAACGTTATCGGTTGCGGCATGCTCAAGCCAAATACCATCTTTCTACCGCTTCGATAAGTCCTGTATCCTTCACGATTTGTTTTTGTCTCTGTAATCACTAAGTACACCTACCACAACGATGTTATTTGATAAGCTTTATTCATTTTCATAGGTTAAGTTAAATTTTGAACGTATATTACGTTTAAAAGGAATATTTATCTATATTATCTATTATATCCGTATACCTGCATATCCTTATAACCATTTTAATGTATTTTGTAAAAAAAGATCATACATGCTTAAATACATAACTATTACCAAAAGATTTAAACCCTTATTACGTTATAAACCTTTAACATTGTTCAATCATAAGACAAACTAGAAAGTATAAAACCCTATACACTCTAGATAAAAAAAGTTTGTCAAAACTTTGTCCTATGTAGAAAGTGAGAAGGAATGCCAACAGTACATGCAATACTTTGCTTGCTTACCAGTAGGACTTTTAAGTGGGGAACACTTACCCGATGCAACGCTATGCGACGCTACCCGACGCAAATCCAAAGTCCAATATTCCATGAGATTGTATTACCCCCGTGCACATCTGCCGATGCTACTATGCTACGCTACCCGACTCTTCGCTCTGCGATCCCCACTGTCCACATTTTCGTCGGGTAGCATCGAGTACAGTTGAAGACAAAAGAACCGACGAAGAATTTTTATTTCAAACTATTTGTATTACTGTCGTTATATTAATTGCAACATACTTACTTTAATATAAACCAAATTAACCGAGATCAAAAATTCATTAGTTTTTATGTAAAAAAAGTAATAATAATAATAATTTTGATGGTTTGGTAGAAAATTGATCAAAACACCGGAATACCATTTTTTGATATAATGAATTTAACAATTTATTACACTGTTTTGCTCATAAAATTTAACTAACAATTTATTTCATGGTTTTGCTCATAAAATTTAACTAACAATGTATTTCATGGTTTTGCTCATAAAATTTAACTAACAATTTATTTCATGGTTTTGCTCATAAAATTACACTATTTTCGTCGAGTAGCGTCAGAACAGGACACTCATATTTTTTGTAATTTATTTCAAACTATGTGTATGTAATTTTGTCGTTATACTAATTACAACATTCTTATTTTAATGTAAAAGAAATTAAACGAGATCAAAAATTCATGAGTTTTTATTAAAAAATTTTTAATTATGTGTGGAGATTAGTGACCGTTAATCGATAATTATTCAGAAATCGTGAGTGGGCACTCTCAACACGACACGCAAGAATGGCACAATTACACAGAAGACTAACACTTTGAGCCCTGAAGATGATCTCAATAAAGATCGAAACGTTGGCACGATAAAGAAAATGTTTTTCTGAAACCTACATCAAACCTCACGATTTCTGAATAATTATTTTTAATTATGATGGTTAGGAAGAAAATTTATCAAGACACCGGAATAACTTTATTTAAAACAATTAAGTTTAACAAACAATTTATTACATGGTTGTACTTATAAAATTTAACTAACGATTTATTACAAGGTTTTGATCAAAATAGTGCATTAAGGACAAAAGAGGCGTTGCGTTTGTGATAGTAATTATTGTGATACATGCTGTGTGACTGTACGTGGCGTGCGCTTAATGTCGCATAGTGTGCACACCCTACCAAAACGTGACAAGGCGTCGGGTAGCATCGTATAGCGTAGCATCGTATAGCGTAGCATCGTGTAAGTGTGTTCCTCGCTTTAGTCTCCTGTCACGATTTTCGGAAATAACAGGGGTTGTTGACATGAATGTGTAGTGTGAAAAGCCAATGATGCAATATTGAGTACCCATCCGACTCTCATAGTTGTGTAGTTGTCTATAGAGTCATATCGAGTACTCCATCGCTCTACTCAACTGAATGGTATTTATACTGGACGTTAAATTCCAACCAAGATAAACTAGATGCATTATTTAGGAAAGGTTGACAACAATATTTCAATAAATGATAGTGTCCAATACAACAGCACGAACATTTAAATTTTAAATATTATGGTTTCTCCAAATAAAAAAATATTTCCTTGCCCAAGGATAAGAGTAACGGTACGAAAATTTAGTTATCGTCATAGATTAGATACTGGATGCTTTTTTATCTCTAGATATATCCTACACATCTAATTTTCCAGAGTTATAATCTTCTTAGCTGCAATTCATTACTTTAAGTTGTACATATGTTTATATATCATTTGATCGGTTTCTATCTTAGTTAAAATCATTATTTTAGTTTAGTATTAGATAGTAGGCTTTTTGGATAGTAGTTTATTTAGTGCTAGTATTATTCATAATGCAAACCGCAAAGAAAGAAGCGATCAACGATGACAAATGGAGTTGCATGGTCGCTATAATGAGCGAGATAACGGAACCTTACGAGTCTTTCGTCCACTTGTACGAGAGCAACAGTGAGCAGGAACCCCTGGTTATAAATATTTCTCAGAAAATGCTATGGCGTTTTAAGTCCGACGGAAACACGGCAGGATTGCTAAGAGGAAGTCAAAGCGAGGCACATTCAGCTCAGAAGAAAAAAATGTCAGTGAAAAGTGATTCTTTGAAAAAAGGCTCTATAAAAAGAGGATCCGTAAAAAGAGGGTCGGTTAAAAGAGGGTCAGTTAAAAGAGGGTCGGTTAAAAGAGGGTCGGTTAAAAGAGGGTCGGTTAAAAGAGGATCCATAAAGAGTGGACGAAAAATGTCGGATAAAGATAAGAAACAATTATACGCGAAGACAAAAACCGTGGATCATGCAAAATTGAATAGGTTGAAACAACAAGCTAAGGTGATACGTCAATATATTCTTAAAATAAAAAAAGCTATGCTAGCAAAGATTGCTCGTTACAGAAAAACTGGTATATACGCGAAAGATGAGACTACGTTGAATCCGACTCCTGGGCCACACGTTTTTTTTGTCATAACTGGGTTTGATGAAGCCGAGATCGTTCCCGCTTTGCTCGAGGCCGGTGTACCAGTTATTGCAGGACTTGCGATTGGTACAAATGTGGAGTTAGCTCTGAAAGAAGCAAAATTTGAAGCCGCTATGGAAACTGCCCGGGAAATGAATGAGGGAAAAGATCCTACACAACCGAGACTAAGTAAGAGGAGGAAGAGTTCAGCCAGGAGGCAGAGCGCGGCCAGAAGACAGAGTGCGGCTAGAAGACAGAGTGCGGCCAGAAGACAGAGTGCGGCCAGAAGACAGAGTGCGGCCAGAAGACAGAGTGCGGCAAGGAAGCAGAGTTCAGGGAGGAAAAAGAGTACTAGAAGAGAGAGCACGAAGAAAAGCAGCGGAGAAAGCAAAAAACCTGGTGACACAAAGCAAAGTGGAGGTAGGACGAGTAGCTTAAAGTCATTGGGCGGGAAAAAAACGGAAGTCATTCGGGATTCCCACACTGAGTTTTGGATTAAATTAAATGAAATATTAGAAAGTCCAAAAAGCTTCGATCTGCTCAAGGATTTTGTTGTCATCCCATTAAATCCTCTAGAAATTTTAAAAGAAGAGAGAGAAAGCCGTCAAGGATATAAGTTGGTCAATCAAGTTACTCAAACGCTTTTCTCTTTGGTTGGCGAATTGAGAAATTTTATTCACTACATGAGCTGTGTTCGTGAGGTGAATTTACCTCCACCCGAACCGGAAAGCGTACTTTTCGATACCTACAAAGCAAAGATGAAACATATACCTTTAAATGATGCGTCATTGGAAATAATCCTGTATAGCATGACTTGTGCTGTAGAAGAAGAAATCTCTTCTGAAGAAAGAATATTATATAATTCAAAAATGTATAAACAACACTCGAGCTTACAATCAACGCCTACAGAAACCAGAGAAAAACGATCGGTCTTAAAATTTAATCTTTCGAAAGACGAAAAAGAAGAAAACCAGGATGTCGCATTTTTGTATTCTCCGGTATTGTTAAACCACAAGGATAAGGCACGCATCGAGTTGTTCGATGTGGACATAAAGGGCGTCAACGTGAAAAATGTATACACAAATATTTACAAACATATGCCCTACTGCAACATCTGGAATTACTATAAAGAGCAAGATCCTACGGCTAAAGTAAAAAACGGAAGCCATTTGTACAAGTTGTGGAGATGCGAAGAGATGAGGATGCCATTCGATTTATTTACAATTCATATCCACCAATTAATTATTTTAAAAATGATCACTATGTGTTTAGAAGAAGGAAACTTGACAACACCAATCCCAAACAAGGACAGAACTTCCGCGAACATGATAGAAGCGAACGATATAAAAGGTGACTTGAACAGCTATAAACTAACAAAATTTTTGATTTCTGAGGAAATCCTCAGTCTGTTTGACTATGAGGTTAAAACTAAAAACAATTTTAACAGCGTGTCAGTTGAAGAATTTGACGAGTATATAAATTTACAGGCTCTTCATAGCGCGTTTTGTAATTATAAAAACGCTTATTATGAGCACTATCCTTTAACTGATAAAATAGTATTTTTGTTCGCAAATGATTTTAATTTTAAAGGGCCGACTAAATCTATTTCAAAAGGGCACTTAGAAGTTTCATCTGGATTCAGACAATTTTACATGTTCACCAGGCATGAATATTCTGTTAAAAAATGGCTCCAATCCCAAAAAGAAGCAATAGACAAAATTGATGACCAAACCCAAATTGAATTCATAAAAACACAGAAACTTTACAAATACAAAAACGCAGTGAAAGACGCTGACTTTCTTTCAGAAAAGTTACAAATTCCACTGCCTTTAATCAATAAAAATGCTGAATCGTATTATAAGGACGTTTACGATGTCGACCCGTCCGGAGCGAGAGTAAATGAAGAGACAACCAATTTCACATCATTCGACGGGCCGACTATAGATATAAAGCAAATTAACGATTGCTACGACAGAACAATTATTCTTAATTCTTTCGGAAACAGTGTTGTTTATACGATAAATGTACTACCAACAAACATCAAGCAGCCTCCGCTGTTGTGTGTTGAGTCCAAACACGGTACTAGATTTGTTATACAGCTTGTCACAAAAAGTATTGCGAGTAACGAGTCCAAAATAAACGTTAGAAAACAAAGCGCGAAAAGTGACGGAGGAAGGCGGTTGAGCAGAAAACAGAGCGCAAAAAGTGTCGGAGGAAGGCGATTGAGCAGAAAACAAAGCGCAAAAAAAGACGGAGGAAGGCGATTGAGCAGAAAACAAAGCGCGAAAAGTGACGGAGGAAGGCGATTGAGCAGAAAACAAAGTGCCAAAAGTGACGGAGGAAGGCGATTGAGCAGAAAACAAAGCGCGAAAAGTGACGGAGGAAGGCGAATGAGCGCAAAACAGAACACTACGAGGAGAAGAAGCAGAACGAAGTCCGGTGAACAACATTTATCGAAACCCGTCGATGCAGAGACGCAAGCATATCAAGTATACACTACACTTCCCAACGGTTCTAAAATATCGTTTTTTGAATTCGATGGAAAAACTCAAGTCAAGCAACAGTTCATCTCCGAAGAAGCTTATTACAAACAAGACGTTTACGAATATCAGAGACTCTTCCTAAATAACGGCTCAATAATACTTTACCGACATAACGGCGATACAGTTATTTTTAGCCCAAATTCAACGATATTTAAAGTCGAAGAAGTTAAATGGGTTGAGAAGCAGGCGAATTTGATATCGGAAAGTATGTTGGACACAAGCCTGAGCGTACCGTGCCAAAGTCAAAGTCAATTGATTAGCGGTTTGCCTAGCACAATACAAAGTAGCAGTACAACCATTCTTAAAAGTAAAATGGAGAGTAGTAAATCGGATGACAGTAGGAGACAGAGTAGAAAAAAAAGTGTAAAGCGCAAACAAAGTGCTAAGGGTACGAGGAGACAAAGCAATAAGCAGGGCCGGAGACAAAGTGCCAAAGCTGGTGGTGGCAGGAGACGAAGCAGTGCCAAAGGAGGTGCGCCTAGAAGTACAAAGTCGTCTGTACAATTGGCGTCCAATCGACAGGAGAACGACACTAAATTGTACCTTCAAGTGACTGCCAGTGAAAGATTCGACTATCTGGGCAAATTCTACAAATTTATAAACGAAAACGAGTTGGTGATGAGAAAACACACTCATAGACTAAGAGTGGCCGAAAAACATGGAAAAGAGCTTTACGTTAAAAGAAGCGATGGTACAAACAGCTATTTTAAAGAAGACGGAATTCTCCATGTTAAATACGACGACGGTTCTCTCATCACGTCTATCCCACACCAAAGAACGGAAAGCATGATAACAATAATGGGAAATCAAAGTTCACACGACTTGACCAAGGAACCCAACTCGTCTAACATTAAAAGTGCCAACGAATCTGATCATGGAGAAGATGAAGATTACTTAACTTACGAAAACGAATACATACAAGAACATCCTAAATATGTGAGGGTGTGTCACAGGAGAGGAGGTACATGTGAACTGACGCTGGACAAATCCACGAGCATCATAAAAAATCCGAACGGAAGTTATTTTATAAAACTAGACGACACGACCGTTATGCATATAAACAGAGAATTAATAACTGTCGAATCCCAAAAGACGACTGACGGGTCTAGACCGGAAGGAAAATCCTTCACAAAAATTTTCCCCGAGAACACGAACTCTCAAGAAAAAAAAATTATTATGGAATCAACGGACAGTCTCAGTAGGACGTTCACCGTATTCTCGGACGGATCTCACGAATTTAGCATCTCGGACGCCACGACTGGAGAATTTGACGAAGCCAGATTCAAACAGCTGCTCCATTCGAACAGATATTTCATACTAAAAAGAGACCTGTCCGGTTATGAATTTTTGCCGGACGTTTCGACGTCGCACGACATGGCAAGGGCTGACGAACAAGACGAAAATACAATCGGGGCATCAGATAAGAAGAGTAAACGCGATTTCGAATCCATCGGAGATGTGCCCATCGATCGAGTCCGACCGTCGAAACTCATGCTCGAGACCGACCCATTCACGAAGAACTTCAAGGAAAGACAGCCCACGAGACGGAATTTACGAATGTCGGCGATTCAAAAGTCGATGAGCGAGAGTGAGAACGGTGAAGAAAAGGCCCAACGGTTCCAATGTAAAATAGAAATTAAAAACGAGCATATGTTCTCATGTAGAAAAATGAATCTTTCCCTTCCGTATGAGTACGAAGATAACAAAACCAACATACTCAAGAGATGCGATTTGACGGACATCCTCCCGAAAAACAAACAATGGCTATTTAATCTAGGACCGGAATTTTACAGAACAATGTGTACATATATAGAGGAAAAAACATGCAAAATTTCTGAATCAAATTCCCAGGATACAAAAGAGCCGCTTGCAATTTTGTACAGAAGACAGAAAACTTTGACTCCCGGAGCGCACATTTACTCTCTGTACAAAGAGGCGTACACGAACTACATGCTGTACAACAAAGATATATATACCGCTTACAACAAATATTTTGTAAAGACATATTTCGATACTTACCGGGATGTCCGAGAACGCGAAGCGACTTTAAACGTCAAGTCTTTCATCCGCACGTTCGAACGAGATAGCGGTAGGGGCTTGTTTTCCGCGGGTACACAAAAAGCTCGGTCTTCGTTCGCCAAAGTGAAGAAGACAGGGTGTGCAAGACTCGATCTTCACTGAATGAGAACGAATACGCAGCAGGGAAATGAAAACGATCCGAAACTGAGACACGACGGGCCGTGATGCGACGACTGCTTCGTCAATCGAAGACGCACATCTTACAGCAGACCTTTCTTCGACAAATGCATCACTTTTTACAGATCTTCATTATCAAAACACTCCAGTAATTAAAAGTAACTGCATTAATGACTTTTTTTACAAGCTTATTTTAGCATTACACCGGGTATTTGTATCTAAACGTTAAATTTAAAAACACGAAAAATTAGCAACACCTAGAAATACCGTATGATGATTTTATTTAAAATATGTTAACTTGAAAAGAAGGCAACAATTCAATTTCAACATTATTCATACAATTCAAATATCGTTGCACAGCTGTTCAAGACGGAGAATAAAAATTATAAACATAAAATAATCCGACCGAACCCTTTTTAATTTTTTTTTAAACTCGTAATTTATTGTATTTATTGCTATGAGTACAAAAATATACATTGAGCAATTAGTATAATTATACAAATATGTAAGGAGGCATAGGGAAGAGAAACCAGTCAGTGTTGGAACTCTTTTACTTAATTGGGTGGGCTAAGAAAAAAAAGGACACGAGGACATCGTCGGAGGGTTGTAAGGGTGGGACGTTGAGTAAAGGGTGGGTTAGCGTGAAGGGACAGTTTAAAGTGGAAATTGAGGAAGCGAGTTCGCAGCAGATCCATTACAAATCGGATTTATGGATTGGTGACGTAGAACTTTAGATTGAAAGAATTCGTCGAATGTTGGAGGATTTTGCCGAGAATCACAGACTCCGTAAGTCCAAATAGGTCTGCTGCTTGTTGATTTAGGTCCCAGTAGGTGTCCGAGTATCTATTTTTAAATTTTTCCAGTTTTAATCTTGTATGAGGGTTTCATGTAGGTCTGCTATCTAAGTAAAGCCGTAGCGGACTTGGTTCAATGATGGTATTATTTTGTTGTTAAGTGCACTAGTGGGCAGGTTTGACGTTTGAGTGTAAAACTTAACTTTTTGGCTTTTTCGCTCGTTCAACCTGATCCGCTAGTCGGTTATGAGGTTGAGTAATGCTGGTGGAATGTTAAGTCTGCGCATAGGTTGTCAACTGAGTGTTTGGATGTATGGGTATGTCAGCAGTATAGGTGGTGTAGAGGATTGGGCTAGGACATTCCCTAGTGAAATGTAGCTTTGATTGGCACAATGGTTGAAAAAATTATGCCGATTCTCACTTCAAACCAACGATCCGTGAGGAACTTCAGGATGAGTTAGTAAATAGGAAGGAGGATACGTTTTAACTTGTAAAGTTGGCCAGGGTGCCTACTCGGTAAATTCTCGTTGATCGACAACAAAATCACATCGATTATACAGTCCTTTTTCGATGGCCCGGCTGAATTTCTCATGATCAATGACTATAAATAATATGTGTTTAATATTTGTTAACTAATAACCATCCCCAAAATATTTTTTAGACTAGTTTCAAATTTTTACCTTTTTTGGAGAACAATTATACAGGGTACCTCAGGCCCAGTTAAACATCAAAATTTCATATACATCCTGACAAACACACTAAAGGATCTTTTACGCAGAAAACAATGGTCGAATCGGATTTTAAACTGGTCAAAGTTATGGCAAAAAGTTTGGAAAAACCAGATATTTGGTTTGCTACTTATTAATCACATTTCATGTTCGAACTACCTGCCTTGCGTAAAGACGCAGATTTGCTCTTTTTCACCGGTGCTCAGAGAGTTAGAGTCAGGGGGAGATGGATTGACAAGCATTCTTTTAAACAATTTAAAATCCGATTGCACCATTGTTTTCAGCGTAAAGAATCATATAAAATGATGTCTCAGGTGTATAGGGTCGTATTGGAAATTTTGAAGTTGTACTCGGTCTGAGGTACCCTGTAAAATTTTTCTCCAAAAAAGGTAAAAATTTGAAACTAGACTAAAAAATTTTAAACACGTATTATTATAAATGATAAATTTTGGAATGAGTGCGGTGTTCAATCCTTTTGTAAAAATTCATGTCGAGGGACGTGATTGTAGAAATCCTTCAACCTGATGATGAGCTAAGGGCTCGAAATCCGGATCGAAGGAAAACAACTTACTGTGAGCACGTATTATTTGTTTTTTGATCATTGGTTCAAGAGAAATTCAGCCGGGCCATCTAAAAAGGACACTGTATAATCTGTATAAATGTGATTTTGTTATCGCCCAACTTTGATACACTGAATTCGAGGATTTATGGGTATGCAGTCCTTGATCACACACTCAGCCAAAACTAAAATCATAAATAACGATTTTTTTCGCTTGGTGACAATAAGTAGGCGAAATTTCTTTTCATTTGTATGTGTTAAACCAGTAAAAAAAATTTCCTACTTCCATCACAATAATATAATAACACTCAATAATAATATACACTGGCGTAAAGATCATATGTTCAGAACTATGTGACAAAGACCAAAAGCATAAACTAAATACCAAACAACCAATACCGACATCGACGCTCCTAGTTTACAGAAGTGGAAACATGCAACAACAGGTGCAAAACGACTCGAACGTAAACAAGTGAGAAGTTGCGTACTGCCCGACGCAACTTTACAATTTAACACATTTTAATCTACAAGCCTCGTTTAATGTCAATCGAAAACACGTCCGTACACACTTACACGATTATTAATAAAAGGAAACCTATCTTGGTCCACAAAAAAACCTAGCGTTCAAAAAATGAAAACTGGTTCGAAAAAGAGTTTTGAAAACAGCAAGGCCCGCGCCAGTTTTAAACAATGCAATCTTCGAATTTACAAAATCAAAGCTTTTTCACGGGGAAAAATACCTTGAGAGACTAAACGATAAAACGAATCCGTGCAATTTTAATGGCGATGTATGTGTCCTTAGACGTCTTACGATAAATTTCTGGGTAGTTGTCGGGTGTCGATAATTTTAATAGTTGACAGTTGTGGCAAGTGGAAAACAGCAATTTGTCGATGTTTGGGCAGCCGAACTAAGTAGGTTCGTTAAGACGTTAGAGTACTTTTTTTCTCTGCAGTCGTTTTTTCACTGAAGACTCACCCGTTTCTCAATCGGCTTGTGACTGATAATCGAGCCGGTTTTTCATATCCGATTCGGGGAAAAAAAAACAACGTTGTTTTAAAGGATATAGAAGAAAATACACGGAAAAACGGGAGCGTTTGTCGAACCGGCCATCCAGAAGGTTACACGACGGAGGAAATTAGGGAAATAACAAGAAAATTTACCTTTTTCCTCTTCGGCCGAGTCGCAAGGCCTTTTTCTCCTCTTTCAGAAGGGCGGTGAAACGGCTCGAAAGCCCCGACGGGTAGATTCTAAATAGAAGAAAAGTCAGATTTATCCCGATTTAACCTTTCCTCTTCTCGGGCCGAGTCGGATAAAATGTCGCCCCCTCCAAGGCTACGTCCGCAGTCTTTTTTCCCCGATTTTTTCCATTCTGCGAAAATCCTTCTATTTTCTACGTTAATCTACGTAAAAGTGCTTTATTCCTTGTAAAACTGGACTGACGCCTTTTGACGTTTCCAGTCGACCGCAACAGCGAGCTCAGAGCTGGCGACGCGACTTCAATCGTTGCCGTTTGTCAGCTGTTTTCCACCTTCTACGAATCTTCTTCCACTTTTTGAAACTGAACTTCTTCTAATGAATCTCTTCTCGTCCTCTTTTGTACAATTCATATTTGCGAATAAACGAAAGAATTCACGGTCTATTTTTTAGTTTTTGTATAGGTGAATATATTATTATTTAAAAAAATAAAAGAAAAAAAATAAAGGCCTTTAGTTGCGTCCGGAGTCTGCAAGTGTGTGGTTATAAACAAAGCGGCAGTGCTCAATGGCATGTTTCTTCACGGAAAATGTTCACACGAAATCTTTCACCCCACGAGAGTTTCAAGTTAGTATGTTTTTAATTTTTCTTCTCCAAAAATACATTAAAATATATTTCGCTCATCCAAAAATACTTTAGCTTATTATTTATGTATATACAGAGATGTGTCTAAGTAAGTTTACAATATTCTGCTTTACAGGTATTGCTGTGTTAAGCTGAAGGTTTAATTTAGCATGAAAGATTAAAAAGTTTAAAAATATATCATTGTGGTTTTTATGTTTTTCTGCATTTGTAAACCATGCTCTTCTATTGCATATTGTATACTGAGGAAAGACTTACTAAAATTGACTAATTTATGTCTAGTGTTTTAAAATATGATGTGTTATATGTCAGCTCTATTGCTGGAGCTGCATTGTCGGACAATAGTGAGCATTTTAACTTCTTTTCAATTACAGCAAAGTTACGTTTACATCTGACACTTTTGTCCGGAAATATATGCCAAGTGTCAGACAGAAATTCGCTTTGGCTGTTTACTTATAGAAATTAATATAACTTTATGTCTTGGATACCTATACGATGGTTCTCAAAATGCGAAACTTGGAATGTACGACACTTTACATACAAGATAGATTTTTCTGTACATTTGTACATCTCATTCATTCTTTGCACAGTTGATTTTATCTTGACACGATGAAAACCTTGAAACGCATGTGTAATTATTCTAAACATGAAAAGGAAGCAAAAACGTTCTGTACGGGTTCGAGAATGAGTTTTGAGTTGTGAAAAAGTCGGTGTCTACAATCAATGTCTGAGCTCAGTATTGAGGATCCAGTTCAATTTTTGAAGAAAGAAACCTGTTGATTTTGAAAAGCATGCTTGTAAAATTGGTCCCCTTATATCAAAGCAAGACACCAAATTCAGAAAAGCAATTAGCAAAAAAAGAACGACTTGCTGTAACTTTGTGATTTTTAGCATCTGGTAAGTAGGTACTACTATTAAATAAAATTTTTAATTTTAATTTCTTTTTGTTTTTAAATAGATTTAAACAACTCTTTTTTTGTCACTCATGTTTATGTGACACTTATTGTAATGTCAGAAAAGTAGATGAATGGCCAACTTTTGCAACAAATGTCGACCAAGGTTGAACTTGCAACTAACCAGGGTTTACATCTAAGTGTCGACCCAAGTAGCTAGTGGTTGAAATATATAAATCTTGCCTAAATTATTAACTGTTTACATTAGCCACGATTTCGGTCGAACATAAATATCATACAATAACTGTCAAATGGAAACGCACCTTACATGTATGCTTACATCTGACAATTTTATCCTGAAATATATGTCGAGTGTCAGACAGAAAATCGCTGTGACTGTGTTTACATTACTGATAGAAATTTCTAGAAATTTATGACATGTATATGTATACAACAAAATGCGAAACTTGGAATAAATGTTACAACCTTTTTACATACAAGATAGAGTTTTGCGTACACATGTGTGCTGTGTACTTGTATTCTGATTTTATCTTGACATGATGAAAGCCCCAAATGCAAACTTTTCTGTGTAATTATTCTAAAGATGAAAAGGAAGAAAAAATGTTCTGTACGGGTTCGAGAATGGGTTTTGAGACGTGGAAAAGTCAGTATTTACAATCAATTAATGTCTGAGCTCAGTATTGAGGATCCAGTTCAATTTTCAAATTTTTGAAGATTGAAACCTGTTTAGCTTCTGGTAAGTAGGTCCTACTATTAAATCAAATTTTTAATTTTAATTTATTTTTGTTTTTAAATAGATTTATACGACTCTTTTTTTTGTCTCATATTTACCCTTATTGCAGTGACAGAAAAGTAGAGGAATGGCAAACTTTTGCGACAAGTGTCGAATAAGGTTGAACTTGCGACAAACTAAATATATATCTCAGATATAAATTCTTCACTGTTTACATTAGCCACGATTTCTGTCTGACATGAATATATGTAATAATTGACAGATTTAAACGTACTGCAAAAATTGTGATACGAGAGTCTGCCTGTCATTTGTTTTATGTCAAATAAAATATTTTCCATTCTTTTGCTTTTTTTAAAATAATTTCTTTTGTTTTTGTAATGAAAGTATAAATACTTTTAACGAAGATAATAACAATTGTTAAATAACTCGGGGTTGTTGGTAGTTACGGTTTGTTCTTAATATATACCCATCCATAATCTCAATAATTATTGAGATTGAGTGTTTATTCCTTCTTGCATAAATAAGGATCGATGCGAATAGTTAATACATTACTGATATTACGATTAAATTGTTCTTAAATTAAATATTCAAAACACAGTGTGTAATGCAAAACATGTAAAAACTACATTCATGGGAAGAACTAGATTTAGTTTTCGTAAAAAAGAGCAGATGAAGAAACTAGTTTGGGTTGAAGAACATTTCTCATTATGGTATGCTACTTTTTTCAGCTTTTGCCCAAAACTTTACAACTATTTGATGATAACTAATCAGTTTAATAAGTTTTTAGCTATTTAAAATATGGGGTTTACACGTTAATTGTATTTTAAGAGAAAACTGGCAAGAAATAATTGCTCTAGTAATTATATGCCAAATAAAAATAGCAATTACCAAACTGGAAACAAATGTTTTATGTGAATCACCTTTTAAGCATAATTTATAATTTTATCTTTGCAGGAAATATTGATTGCTCCCTGATTGAAAATATATTAAAATTTGTCTCTGTATTAAGGCCGTTTATCTCAAGTTCGTTCTTAATATATACCCGTCCATACTTTCATTATTAATTATTGAGATCAAGTGTTTATTTTTTAAAGCTTAAATAAGGGTAGATTGGAGTATTTAATACTCTACCAATATTACGAAATATGTTCTTCAAATAAATATTCAAAACACAATGCGTAATGCAAAACATATGTAAAAAGCTATATTCATGGGAAGAACTTGATTTAGATTTCTTCAAAAAACATGTCAAAAAACTTTATTTTGAGCTGAAGAACATTTCTTATCGTGGCGTACTACTACTTTCGTTTTTGCCCAAAACATTACGACTATTCTATGATAAATAACCAGTTTGGTAAGTTTTTAGCTATTTAAAACATGGGATTTACCCATAAATTACATGTTAGGAGAAAGGGAAGGATCAGATTCTACTAGTAATTATACACCAAATAAAAATCATAATTGCCAATCTGGAAACAATTGTTTTATATGAATCATCATTTAAGCATAATTGATAATTTTATCTTTGCAGGAAATATTGATTTCTTCCTGGTTGAAAAAATATTTAAAATTTTCTGTGTATTAAGGTCGTTTCATTCTACTCTACTTAATTTGTAATGATGAGTAATACATAGGTTTATCCCAAGATCTCATCAAGAAATATGTCATCTTTATTCTTATTAGTATTACATATCCATGTCTAAGCTTTATTACCACTTTGAGCTTTTTTATCATCACTATTTTATTGAATATTAATTTTGTCTAAGATGGGGTCATATTCAATGACATTGTGAATTGAAAAGATTTTGTCTATGTTAAGAGAATATTTTGTCAAATTAAAAACTTTTTTAACTGAAGTATAATGTTACCTCGTTAGGTTGAGCTTTTGGATTCAGCTAAAGAGAGAAATATTGTAGTCTGCCTTAACCCAGGCACAAATAAGACATTTATCGCATTAAAATTACTACAGGAGCTATCAAATTCTATTAGAGGGTATGGTTTATTTTTATTTAATTAATATTTTGTGTGTATGTGTAGTATAACAAATTTTAAACAGAAATATTTTAGATCTAAGTTATGCAAACGCACTTTATATATTGGCAATGAAAGATCGGTAGAATATTTTGGAAATATTGTTCGGCATTTAACAGATTTAGTGACTGGAAAATATGTCGATACCTCATCGTGTTTCCATGAAGAAGATCAGGTATAATTTCCATTATTTTTCTAAAAACGATTTTCTTTTTCTATCTTTGTTTTTCTTTTAAGGTTTTAACAGTAACATACGAAGTTTGCCAAGCATGGCTCTCAAAAGGTGTTTTGAATTGGAAAAGCATAAACGTTGTCATAATCGAAGATTGTCATTATTCGTTATGCAACCATCCTCTGAGACAAGTAGGGAAAATATAGGATGCCCGAATAAATTTTTACAATTTAAATCATAATTGGAATTTTTCTAGATTATCATAAATTTAAAAGATGTTCAAGGAAACCGCCCTAAAATTCTTGGTCTAACAACACCTTTGTTTTCCAACTGTGATGTTGAGCCCGGGTGTGTAGAAGCCCAAGTGAAACGGTTAGAGTTAGATTTGAAGAGCAAAGTTGATACTGCTAGCGATATTGTCTCTATCCTAAGGTACAACATAAAATCTCAACGAACAATAAATATTAAAAATGTATAACTAAAGTAACTTGGCTTCATCAGGTACAGTGCTCATCCAAAAGAGTTGTTAGTAGTATGTGATAATCCATCAAAGGACGATTTAATGAATTTGTTGGAATCAGAAGTGAGAAAAGTCAGACTTTTTCTAGATGATCATAGGTACGATCCTTTTGAAATTTACGACGAAAGCTTTAGCGATGAGCTAAAGGACATACCGGATCCCAAAACTCAACCCAATTCTATCTTAGACGATTTTATAGAAATACTTCACACAATGGGTAAATATTTTAAATATATTATTAAATATAATTTATAAAATACTTTTTAAAATACGTCATACCTCCTTAAAATTTAATTGTAGGTGCTTGGTGTGCTGACAAAGCGGCAATGGTGCTTGCTGTTGATATCGAAAAACTTAAAGTTAAAACCCCGTATGAGAGACATTTTTTACTTCTTTGTTTAGTTTCATCTCTACTTTTTAAAATACGGTATTAAATTTTTTTCTCTGAAATAAAATTACAATATTGTTTATTTTAATGTATTTTATTAATAACAAATTTGTATTGTTACAGAGCATTTTGTGATGAAGCATTTCAGGGGATGACTGAATTGGAAAAGATTAATAAATTCTCATCACCTAGGGTTTTGAGACTTGTAGAAATAGTGAGACAATTTAAGCCAAAGAAGCCGATTGATTGTATAGGATCTTCTGATACAGGAAAAGATGAGAAAATTGTTATTGCAGATGATGGGAAATGTGAGAGTGAAACGAAAAACAATGAGGAAAGAAATAAATGTGAAGAAAAATTAGAAAACGAACCAAAGACTGATCATTTAGAAAATTCTAATTTACAGAATGAAAATCATGAAATTGAGGAAAAGGTGGACGGATCTGTTAAGAAGAGAGCTATTTTGGCCTGTTTTGTATGTGGCAAAGTAAATTGCAGTGGCAGCAATGTTTCAAAAGAAACTGACACGTGCACTGATGATAACAATGAAATATGTAAAAACAATACTGAAGTGAAATCACCATCAGAGGTACAACTAGAAAATAGCATAAATAGATGGGATAGGCATGGTGAACTGTCGCATCACAGACCGAATAGCCGTTGGAAAGGGAGAGGTCGTAGTTATAGGTTACGCAGGGGTGGGATAAATTTTTCATCCAGGCATTACAGGAACCATAACACAGATGACACGGAAAGTCTATGCGGAATAATATTTGTGCAGAAGAGATTCACTGCAAAAATATTGTATCACTTATTCAATGTTGGTATAGAAAGAAGTAATTTAATATATCTAAATATTGTTTCAAATAATTTTATATTTGTTAGGATTTGCATAAAAACGATCCAGATTTTGTAAATATAGTCACCCTTTACACTGTTAACAAAACGGCAGATCCCAACTTGGATCCGAGAGAGGCCGAAGTTGAACATCGGAAACAGGAGGATGTCCTTAAGAGGTGTTTTTTAAATTATGTTTAATTTTTTACTGTGTAATAAACATAAAAAAAATGCTTTGGATTAATTTATTATATTCCAATTTAAGGTTTCGGATGAGAGAATGTAATTTGGTCATTGCAACATCCGTGCTTGAAGAAGGTATAGAGCTTCCTAGATGTAACTTAATTGTTAGATATGATCTTGTGACGGAATTTAAAAGCCATGCTCACTGTAAGGGTAGAGCTCGCCAGCAAATATCGTACTACATCCTCTTGGTTGAAAAATCACTTCTTGCATCATTCATGAAGCTATATTCAAAATTCATTTGTACTGAAAAGGTAATGGATTATTTTCTCACCTTTTAAAATATAATAGAACAATTTTCACCCATGAACTGTGCTATTTAGGAAAATCATTGTTTGAATATGTTAATTTTCAACTATTGGTATTAACACTCACACAGCTGTTGTGGATCTTTCAAGCCTCGAAGATTTTTTTTTTGCTTCTACTGTCTGTTTTCAAAAATATTATTCAACGATGTTGGGTTGTGAGATGTGAAGTCATACTGAAAACAAGCTTAGTGCTCACATAGTATTAAAAATTAGTATTAAGAAATTAAAATCTTTAAAAATTATGTAAAAACAAATGTAATATATGTAAAATAATGTTAAAAATCATATTCCAGGCGTTGCCTTGAAAAAGAATGAAAACCATTCGAAAAATTGGCAAATTAAAGAATTGAGCACTACACTTGTTTTCTGTATGACTGCACATCCCACAACCCAACATCATTGAATATAACAGTCATAAATAAAAGAAAAATATTGCTATTATTCATTTTGTGGATAAAAAGATGCCTGGTTCTATTTATACCCACTGATCACAGTACATGCCATATTTTTCCAGTAGTTTTTTCTGGCTCGTGCCATTGATTGACACCGGGCACTTAGTCACCAGAATTATTTTGGTTTTTCTGTTTGCCCCACAGCCTCACTTTCAGTTTGTATTCTGTTTCTGTGCGAAAGTAAGTGAAAAGGATGCTAACTCTGTTTTTACTTGTGCGGATTATATTTTTAAAAGGTTTCAGAGGCAGAAAAGAAGAACAAAATGTTTTTCTTGATGGTCGATGTTTACAAACGATTATAAATATTTTACAAGATATGGTAAATGCAAGCAATTTGTATGTGGTAAACCGTTGGCAACCAAAAAGCGGAAATGTATAATTTGTGTAGATCATACCTACACAAGAAATTTTTTATAAAATGTAAAATTATATAATGTATAAAAGTTATGTCACCTAATTACAGACTAAATAAATAAATATAAAACAAAAAACCTTATTGTTACAGTTTTTCATTTAAAAAGAATATCGGGTTTAAAAAGGACCAAGGCCGTCCATATTATTTTTTAACTGACAGTGGAGTGTTAACACATTTTAAGTGACCACAAAAACACACACTAAATGGACCATATTCACATATGTATAAACTGGACTAATCTATTTCACCAATTAGGCATAAAACCACTGAGAGACTTCAAGCACATTTGAAAAACTCTTGAAACAAAAATATAGACAAAAATGGTATAAGATGTGAACGTGGAGACGTATCACATCATTTTGGAATGTTAGAAAATTGAACTACAAGAAACATGATAAACCATCAACAGACAAGCATGAAACTACGAATATAAAAGCATAAAAAAGTAACATACTTGAAAACTTCAGTGAAGGGTTGTCATTATTGAACTAGTACAATTTCAAACGATTATTCGTGCTAAAGAATAGGTCATTCAGAGCTTTGAAAATGCTTCAACAAGAATAAATATTTTAAATCATACTAGTTCAATAACGACAACTTTGACAACCAAAGGAGGGAAAACCGACAACTAAAAATAAATTAGAATAGTATAAACTAACTAACCTTTACACATTCAACAGTAAAAAAAAACCATAAATACTTAAATTAACAACAGCTCACATACATCATTTACACCACTCAAAAATATATTCAAATTAAAAACAAAAAGGATTGATCAGATAAATTTAAAAAAAGTTGAAAAACAGCCTAACAGAAGTTTTCAAAAAATGAAATGCACCTCCATCTTTTTAAAAAATCCAAGATACATGTTTGGGAGAAATATATTTTTGCGATGAAATTTACCTTTTAATGTTGGTAAATTGTCAATTAAAAATGTTTACCTATTTTACTTATTACATTTTGTTTACATATATGGGAAGTTTGTACTGGATTACATGGAGTGGTAAAATGGTAAAGCATCGCACTATAAGTTCATATTTGATCTATTTGAAGATGGTTGGTTTGAATCCTGCCTGGGACAAAACTTGTTCTTATCAAAACTCGAGTATAATAAATAAATTGAAAAAGTAACAAAAAGGCCAAGAATGTAATAAGTTTAAAAAATCAGGAAGTTAATGTAAAAATATTAGATAATTACAGTAAAAATATTAGATTAGATTTTTTTTTTAAATTTTTAAAAGGCATAAAACCACTAAGGGTCATAGCTGCCTTAAAGCATCCACCAATGCAGATTATTAAAATATTATATTAGATATTCAAATATTAAATTAAATTATTAATTTAAGAGTAATAATGTTATAAATAAATTTTTTTTAAATTGTACCATATAAATAGTTAGTTTTGTACTTGATTTATCTATTTAATTTAGCACAATTACCATTAAAATGCGTTAGGATCATACAAAAGAGTTGGAGAATTTTAATTTATTTCAGTTTGACACTACAAAAAAAATATTTCACAGATTCTTCTTGGTCGTACAATGAACCATGAACCTTCAGAGAGTGAAGAGCAAGAAGCTGACCTTTATAATCACTGTGTGCCCTATTATCAGCCTGTAGCAGGCAAAGAATCGGCTAAAGTTGACCTTTCTAACGCAATCGCTTTAGTGAACAGGTAGAAAAGTAAAAAACTTATTATTTTGTGTATATAGTTTTTTTTAATATTTTGAACTTTGTAGATATTGTGCCAAACTGCCAAGTGATACGTTTACACGGTTGGTACCATTGTGGAATACTAGGGAGGTCGTACACAAAGGTAGATTGATGTACTACACAACCGTCAGACTGCCAATTAACTCCCCAATAAAAGAAGATATTATTGTGAGGTGAAAAATTAAACAATAGAAAATAGTTTATAATGAGTAGAAATTTTAGGGGCACCCGATGCATTCAAAAGTTCTTGCGAGGCGAATCGCAGCATTAGAGACTAGCCGGGTACTTCATTTACGGGGTGAATTGGACGATAATTTAGAACCAATTGGAAAAGAAGCCTTCAACTCTGGCATTGGAGAAGAAGATTTGACTCCGAGCACGTGGGATCCTAACCTACCCCGGCCTGGTACGACCAAGAGTAGGCAGTATTATTATAAAAAGGTCGGTGTGTAATTTGGTATTTTTTTCAAACTTGACTTTTCATATTATTACGCTTCTAGATTGCCAGCTGTTTAAATGATTGCCGGCCTATTGCTGGTGTCGAGGTGAAATTGTATAGCATCGACATGGATCTCACTTGCCCTTTGCCGGAAGAACAAAATACGCGTGGAAGAAAACTGCACCCTCCAGAACTTGCTGTTCAAGGGTTTGGTATTCTGACAATGAAGACGATCCCCAAGGTAATACTTGGAATTGATATAAGCTGTATTTATTGCATCTTCTTTATTCACAGCTTTTAAGATTAGATATGACTATTTAGGCCAATTTGACCAATTAATTTTCTAATTTTTTTTTTTTAAATTGCAATCAAAGATTTATATTTTTATATTTCAAGATCTGCCCCTTTCCGATATTTACGAGGTCAGGTGAAGTGAGGGTCAATTTAAGGCTCTGTTCTTCCAGTATTGTCCTTAGCGAACACAATGTCGAAACGATAACAGCATTCCTCAATTTTATATTTACTTCTGTGCTAAGGCTGCAAAAGTATTTGATGAGCTTTGATCCAGAAGCTACAGAAAATTCGTTTTTCATTGTACCTACTAAAAAAGGTAGTTCATGAATCAATTAAAAGTTGGTTGTATTGTAAAAAAAATGTTGTTTTCAGTTAGGTGTGGCATAAATGTGGTCGATTGGGAATTTTTAGAAACAATTTACAAAAGAAGGCATGAATCACCGCAAACAGTGCCAGAAGAAGAAAGAAAATCATTTACATTTGACCCATCGATGTACAGAGATGCGGTTGTCATGCCGTGGTATCGTAATCAAGACCAACCACAGGTAGAAATATTTCCTTTTCTATACAAATCCCCAAATTAATGACTCACGTTAATAATTTCAGTACTTTTATGTAGCGGAAATTTGCAATCATTTAAACCCAAAATCTGAATTTCCTGGTAGCGATTATAGCAGTTTTGAGGATTATTATAAAAAAAAATACGGCATACAAATACAAAATTCAACTCAGCCTTTGCTTGATGTCGATCATACTTCAGCACGGTTAAATTTTCTGACGCCTCGTTATGTCAATCGTAAAGGAGTTGCGCTTCCGACAAGCAGTGAGGAAACAAAGAGAGCCAAGAGGGAAAATCTAGAGCAGAAACAAATTCTAGTAGCGGAGCTTTGCCTTATTCATGTTGTACCTGCATCTTTATGGCGCCAAGCAGTCTGTTTGCCTTGTATACTTTACAGGATAAACGCCCTTCTCTTGGCCGATGAAATAAGAACCACTGTTGCAAAAGAAGTCTCTTTAGGACTCATCGACCTGCCTGCGGGTGAGCTAGCAAAATAGTTTTGTTGTTGTTTTTCACTGTTTGTAATTTATAATTATTCAGGTTTCACCTGGAGTCCATTGGATTTCGGATGGAGTTTAGCTGATGTTCTGAAAAAATCGAAAGAGCAAGCGTCAAAAAAAGATGAAGATGATGAAGGCCTTGGTTCAAACACGGTTTCTCCCTCTACTACTGCAAATCCTGAGAATAAGCAAGAAGACAGTTTAGAGATAAAAGAGGTGGATAAAGAAACAACTGCACAATCGGATGAAGAAAGTAAACCTCAAGATTGGATGGAAATTGGGACTTGGTCAAATGAAATGGCACAACTAGAAAATCAACTCGATTTGCCTCCTAATCTTACAATGGTATTATTTTTTGCTTTGTCCAGAATTATTTCATCACTTTCTAGAATTTAAATTGGTAATTTTATTGTTATTTTGTGATCTTAGGTCCGGTACGGGTCTCCCACCAGTTGGGAAGTTGGTGGTAACATGACCTACGATTATTACTATTCAGATGCTGAGTCAGATGACAGTAGTGATGACTTTGATATCAGTTCAGAAAACTCAGACGACAATTCGTCATGTGCTTCGACTGGATTAAAGATCACATTTCAAAGTGACTACATCGCAGAAGCTGTTGATGATGAAGAGCACATAAAAAGATTGGCCCTTGTCCATCAAGACTATGCTGGAAGTGGTGATGCATGGTCTTGGGATTGTGATAATTTAATTGAAGAACTCAAGGTTAGTTTTGAGAGATTGTACAATAAATAGTTAAATATTTCAATTTTACATAAAATAATAAAAAATAAAATCCAACCCCTTAAAAAGTTAGTGAAAATATAAACATTTCGATGATCTATGAATATATTTTTTTAGATATATATTGGAATATTTGTTTGTAGTCTATGATGATGTATTATTTTTTTGTCAAGAAACACTATTCATAAATTCTAGGCAATACAATAGTAATTGCATTCTTTCCAAAGGTTTTCTTTTTGGTTGTAGGCTTTTCAAATTATTGGAATGTCAAATTGTATTGTCTTGGGAGGGGGGGATTAAACAATAATAAAAATTTGTGTAATTATTGAGTTACAAGTTAAAACATTTTTTATAGATGGAGATTGAAGAGGAAGTCAAAATTTTTCAAGAACAAGCAAATATGATAGAAGACATGGAGACAGAAGAGGCACTTGTACATATGAACCAGCCACTTGTCATAAACCGGGCAGCCATAAAAGAAAACTCTGATAATGAATCACGTGTCAAACAGTTAGATTATGAAGTCGAGAGCTACAGCATGCCAGAATATATTGCAGTAGACAAATCAAGACAAGGGAAGGAGCCATATGAAAATAATCACACCGACGAAAAGACGACTGACCAAGAGGAGTCAGGTATTTGATTTTTTCTATTGGTTGTTCACATTTTAGATTTGAAGTCTTTCCTTCTGATTCCATTTTAGAAGATGAAGTTGAATTCATATTTAGCTTTGATAAACAGCCAGATCTTAAAGGGCATCCTGGGCCAAGTCCTAGCCTCCTTCTTCAGGCTCTGACTATGTCGAATGCAAATGATGGGATAAACTTAGAAAGATTAGAAACAATCGGTGACTCATTTTTAAAATATGCTATAACAACTTACCTATATTGCACCCACGAAAACATCCATGAAGGAAAACTAAGCCACCTTCGCTCAAAACAGGTATTTCATAATTATTTACAAAACCTGTTTATTTATTTATTTGTTTGCTTATATTTTTTTTAAAAAGAATGAGACCTGCATTTTTAAGACTACGATTCCCAATTTACACTAGAAGATGACAATTTTTTTTCTTCGGACTAGGTTTTCTATGGAATCAGGAGTCCCTCAGGGATCACACTTGGGGCCAATCTTGTTTAGTATTTTCTTTAACATGTAATATTTAGTGACGTTTACTTAAGGATTATTAGAGATCATGTGATGTGGTCTGGTGTGATGCATGTTTAGAAAAACATTTTTATAGTGCCAACATTTTGATTTTCATTGAGATCATTTCCAGGGCCTGGGATTTACAAACATTGTTTAAACTATACAAATAAATTTAAGATATGACTATGAATTTATACAATGGCATACACAATATAGAAATTTTAGGTTTAATCAAATTATTTGTACTGACTCAAAGTGTGTGTTCCCTGTGAGGATATGTCACTATTCTGTGTCAAGTTGAGTGTTAGTGAGATTTTAATGTTTTATGTTTATATATGTTTGATTTTGAAGAAGTGGGGAAGGAAGTAGGGATAGAAATTCATTTTTCTATGAAGAGTTAGCTTCTTTGAGGTGAAAGGGACTGACAATGGAAAAAAAGGGGTAATGGTTTGTCGTTCCGGCTTGGTTAGCCTTTAAGGATAGACAGGATTTAAAAGAAAGATTTTTGAGTTTTTAAGGAATAATATGGATGTTGTTACTCTTGAACTGGAATGAATTTTAATTTTTGATTTTCCTTATCAAAAGGAACATCAAACATATTTCAATAACATCAATACATACATATTTACATGTAAGTTTTTGACTGTTGTCATGTTTGTTTACTTTTTATACACTGTTTTTACCTAATGTTATAACTACTACTATATTTGGGCTGTTCTGTTTTGGGGATGCTTCCCTGTTTGAAATGATAAATGAATAAACTGTAATATTCAATGGTCCAGAAGTAGCATGTGAAGAGGAAGGGACCTTTGGTGAGAAAATTAGCAGTAAGAAAGAGGGGTGGGAGAAGAAATGTTTGCAGAATATACTAACAACTGTATCAAGAATACACAAAATTGCACAAAGAATACACGTGCATAATGTCATAAATTTGGCCTGCAGAAACTAATTAGAATCGGTGATAGAAAATAAAATGTTTGTAGGTTTCATCTTCTCATCTGTAATAATTTGCAATCTATGCGTTGGTATGGGCTGAAAGAAGAAGAAAAATTCGCTTTACAAAAGTTGTAATATTGTGGACTTAATATAAAATCTAAGAGGAGCTATGACATTTTAAGTATAACACCAGGCATATTAGATAAATAAATAAAGTTAAAAAAAAAAAAAATGCCCCACTAAGATAAGTCCATGTCTTTTTTTTATTGCTATGAAAGACTAAACAATAAATAATTGAAAATGGCACAGGATTGTCAAAATATTGCAAAACTGTGATTTTTTTTTTTTTTTTTTTTAAATCTGACAAATGTATACAAGGTGTCCCTTTCACAGACCAGACACTTTTAATGTAAACAAAGTAAGATAAAAAACTAACCCCCTTTATTTTTTCATATCTTTTAAAAAATTGCAATTATAATATTTTTCTGATTTTTATGCAAATATGGTTGAAAAGAAAAATTGGAAATAATAAATAATAATAAATTGATAATTAATTAAATAATTATACTCAAAGGATGTTACCCTTACTTCAGAATTAATCATACATCGTAATGCTGCTAAATGATACTATGAGTTTGAATATTGGCTGTAATGGAAAAATTTAAATTATAGCCAGTTGAGAAAAGAGAAGACACTTCTTGGGGATTGAGGTCATAATAGCACGCACCGGCTCAGGTTCAAATCCCGCTTGTGACATAATTTTTCTTCTCAACCGTCTTTGCATAAAAATTGGAAATAATAATCCATAATAAACAGATAACTAATTAAATAATTAAAATATATTCAATGAAAAAGGGGTTAATTTACTCACATTCTTTGTCCCTTATTCCATCTTATCCTAGTCTTCTTCCTTGTAAGTAAATATAATATAAATTTTAGGAATGGTTAGGTTTATCCTTAACTGTCGGACAAATTAGTGTAATTGTATGAAATTAAAAGAAAATTACCCTTACTTATGTTTTCCTTAGTGTGGTTTTGTTTCAGTTCTTTAGTTGTTTTTGTTATGGTTTATTTTAGGTCAGCAATTTGAAATTGTATAGATTAGGCCAGAATAAAGTCTTCGGTGAAAGCATGATAGCAAGTAAATTTGAACCTCATGATAATTGGCTGCCACCTTGTTACTTGGTGCCTCGTGACGCTGAACAAGAATTGGTCGATCAGGAACCTGTTACAAGTCTTCCCTACAATTTAGTCACGCAACATTCCATCCCAGACAAAAGCATTGCTGATTGTGTTGAGGCTTTAATTGGTAATGAATTTCTATAATAAATATTAATATAATATATAATAATATATAAAAAAATAAAACTCGTACAAAAGCTTTTAAACAAAGAATAGGAAGAATATCATTTTAGTATAATCACTTACTTTTAAAATTTAATTTCTCTTTTATATTAGGAGCATATTTAATAGAATGTGGTCCCAGAGGTGCCTTGATATTCATGTCCTGGCTTGGAATTAAGGTCCTGCCTAAGGAAGAAGTGGTGGTTAAAAATGGTATTATTGACCGTCCTGTTGGTAGTTATCTCCCTGTCGAAGGAATTCAAGTGTGTATTTCCCAATTTGAATATTTTTTAAATCAGAAATATACTAATCTGTTAAGTTGTACAGGTGCGTTTTGGAATGTTGCAACCTCCCAAATCACCTCTTTTAAGGCATGTTGAAGACCCTGAAGGCGAACTCTTAAGACTCATGGCTGGATTTGATTCACTTGAAAGGAAATTGAAATACTCCTTTCGGGACAAGTCTTTTCTCCTTCAGGCGATGACCCACACATCGTATTCGCCGAATCGTCTGACAGATTGTTATCAGAGGCTCGAATTCCTTGGAGATGCTGTATTAGGTAATGAAAACGTGTCCTTCCCCTTTCTACATTTAAAACATTTCCTGTTTCATACTCAATTAATTATACACAATTTTTTCTGAAATGAAAAATTTGTGTCACAGGCGGGATTCGAACCCACGACTTTCAGTAGTATAATCGTTAATAAAAAGTGTATCTATATGAAGCCGCGATTTGCTTATAATTAGAATAAAATCGGGTAGTCAAAATGAGAAGTTTGTGGCATGGGCGATCGAAGTCACGGTAGCTCAAGTGGTAGAGCAGTGGCGTATTTAGCCGAAAGTCGTGGGTTCGAATCCCGCCTGTGACACAAATTTTTCATTTCGAAAAAAATTGTGTACAATTAATTGAGTATTTATATAATTAATAAAAGCTGATAAAATTTAGTATTTCCTGTTTCAGATTATTTAATCACACGCCATTTATACGAGGATAAACGAGCCCACAGCCCTGGATCACTCACAGATCTAAGGTCAGCTCTTGTCAATAACACAATATTCGCTTCGCTGGCTGTTAAGCACGGTCTTCACAAATACTTCAGACACCTCTCACCAGGACTTGGGGAAGTGATTCAGCGCTTTGTCACAATACAGGAGCAAACAAGCCATGCTATTAGTGAAGAGGTATTCTACAATTTCAACTCTAAACATTAATCAAATTAATTAGTTTTTTTTAATCTAAGGTTTCAGTTGAGATGAAAAATTAGTGTAGCAAACGGGATTCGAACCCAAGACCTTTGGCTGTATGTAACCACTCGAGCTATTGTGACTTCGATCCTCTCGGACACCAACTCCCCGTCTCAACGTACAACCCTTTGAATTTTCCCTCTTTTTGCCATATTTTCAAATGGGGGTTTGTAACCCGCTCGTGACACTAATTTTTCATCTCAACCAAAAATTTTAGATAAAAAGAATAATTAATTGGAATAATTAATCAATTAGGACCACTAAACGGATATGGATTAATCTTAATGTTAATTTTATGTTTGTATTTTATTCCTTGTTTAATTTTTGTTTACACAAATAAACATATTTAATACCCATTGAATAACGTTTTTAAAATTAGGTAAAGTGTTAAATTAATAAGCTTAGTTAATTGAATTATGTACAACTTGTCACAGTACTATTTGGTGGGCGGTGATGCTGAAGATGTTGAAGTTCCCAAAGCTCTAGGTGATGTTTTTGAATCAGTTGCCGGTGCTATCTTCCTAGATAGTGATATGTCATTAGATACAGTGTGGAATGTTTATTATAGAATGATGAAAAAAGAAATAGGTAATTTGAAAAGTAAGTATTTAATGGTGTTTCAAGAAAAGCTAAAATTGTTTCATTTTAAACAGAGCAATTCAGCACTAAAGTGCCTAAATCACCGATCCGTGAGCTTCTAGAACTTGAACCAGAAACAGCTAAGTTCAGGTATGTTCTTTTCTTGCTATATATATGTATATTACAACTAGCTTTATCGCTTAACTATTAAAATAATATTAATTATTATTTCAGTAAACCAGAGAAACTTGCTGATGGCCGGCGTGTTCGAGTGACGGTTGAGGTGTTTGGTAAAGGAACGTTCAAAGGTATAGGACGCAATTATAGAATTGCTAAGTGCACTGCAGCCAAATGTGCTCTTAAACAGCTCAAGAAAAAAGGCCTTCTAGCTCGGAAGTTGTGCTACTTCAACTCTTATCCATTCCACCAAGCCTAACTTTACCAGAATTCTCTTTTGGTTATAAACATTTTAATTGTTTTATAACAAAATTACGTTGATACTTTCAGTCAGAAATGAAAACAAGGAGAGTATTAATTTGAGGGAAAGGCTTAAACCTTGTTTAACAGATTTTAACCATTTAAATTTTTTGTTTTAAATGGTGGTTATTTCCAGTTTTACACACTTTATCACCTATTTTGTCTTATTTTATCCCAACAGTACGCCTTACGTTTTAATTATTATTTTTTATTTTTTTTGTGTGTCGATTATGAAAATTGATTTACATTTTATGATAATATTTAATTAATAAAAAATTGGTATCAAACATTTTAATTAATGTCTCCTTTAGGCCATTCACACGATATAAAATTTGTAGTTCTGTCAATTTATGCCTATTGACCAATGTTGTGTCTAATTTGAAGAAAAAGTATTTTTTGAAAAATTAATTATTATAATTTTATTTACTTTAAACTTGTAATCTAGTCAATTCCAGTGTTTTTCAATGCAAGCAAAGTGAAATTATAATAAAGTTGGAATTTTTTTAAGGATTTGTAGCGCAGTATTTAATATTTGCCTTCCTTAAAAAAATTATGAATTAAGATAGTTTAAAAACTTAATGACTTAATTTGGAATTGTATCTAAAGATTTAAAGCTGCCAAAATTTGACTAAAGTTTAAAGCACACACTCAGAAAAAAGTGTAAATTATCTGTACATTATTCACTGTGCAAGCATTAATATACATGTAAAATTTTAGTCAAATTATGCAATGACATATATTTGAAATGTGTATTTGTTAAGACTGAATTGTTTCATGTAATGAGACAATGAATACAGGCGTGAGATATTTTGTGTATGTCAATGGCAATAATGTTTAATGTTTTGGCTGTATGATATAACGTGTCACTCTCAAACACCACACACTTGCTGCTTGCAGCAAGCTTTTTATTAAATCTTGTATTTTTTATCAAATTTGCTTACTCTATTGTAAAACAATATTAATAAAAAAAACCGTCAACCTACCTCTAGGCCATATTTTTGTTGAATGAGTACAGTAATGTAGAACAATGATGCATTTATAAACTACGTTTTAGGAAATGAAATGGAATATCAGTAACAACTTAAAATTATACTGTGATACAAAAAATAGAAAATGATTGATAAATAATAAAATATATTTCATTCTGATTTTTATTTGTAAAACACAGTTTATAAAATTTAGGTTGGAAGTTATTTTTTAAATTTACTGTAGATATATATGAAATTTCTGAATTCAGTAAAGTATTTAATACAACACTACTGAATATAAAAATTTCATTTTTCTACAGTAAATCTTAAAAATCCAACAAATAAATTCAATTAATTCATATTTGCTTAGTGGTCATAATCGACCATATTAATTGGCCTTGCCTCCTCCTTTTACCATTTTTAGATAAACATTTGGAGGTACCCCAAGGCTCTAGCCTCTCTCCTATCCTTTTTTCCATTTATATTAATGACCAGCCCAACTCCATCCCGTCCTGTAACTACCACCTACATGCCGATGACTCCCAAATGTACATATTTTTGCACTCTTCCAATCTTCACTTGCCCAATGGGCACATAATATTTCCCTAGTCCTTAAACTGTCCAAATACACCGCCATAATTATTGGGTCCAGGCAACTACTCCATTCCCTCCCCATCATCCTACTTCTCATGTTAAATAATCATCTCATTCCCTTCTGCTCCTTGGTTAAAAACCTTGGAGTAGTCTTTGACCAAAACCTTTTCTTTCATCCTCAAATTTCCCACTATTGTACTGCCTCTTCCCTTACCTTTCTCCACCTGCAAACTCCTTGTATTTTTTCTTATACTTCCCTTCTTTGATTACAGCTGTGTGGCATACAGTGGTCTCTCGGAGGGGGGAACACACAATTGAAGCCTATTATGAATTGCTGAGTAAGATTCGTATTCGGCACCCCACTTCCCAACTTATCTGGATCTACCCCCTTCTTCCGTGCACAGTATTTCCTAGGTTGCTTTTTTTTCCATTCCATCCACTCTCGCTCGTCGTCCTCCTTACATCACCCAATCCCTCCTGTGCACGCGCTGGTCGGTCGCAATAAAAATAAAATAAAATAAAATTAAAATACAAAATAAAATAAAATACTCACTTGGTAACTGTGGCTTGATTTTCTTGACAACCAGGGAGGAGAGCCGTTTAATAGCTAGAACCTACAATAACTCTGGCCAAAGGTAAAACAGAATCCTAGTCTATTAATTACCTTCGGGGCTCCGTCCGAACCCTGAATGATGTGTCGTATTAAGGATGCAGGAGGAGACACTCGCGTTATTTTGAACGCGGTAACAAAACGAAAAAAATGCTTCTTGAAAATAAGAGAAAAAATGAAAGAAAACTAAAAGAAAATCACTCTTGGAGGCTCATTAATAGTGGACTGTATGGAAGTGAACAGGACTAGGCAGCAACAGGACAGGATTGTGGCGAGGGAACAGAGCTATAAATAAATTCTAGATTAGTGGCATTTTGGAAACAAAATAAACAATTATAATTCACGATGTTTGGTGCGAACACCTCCAATTCAACTCCTCACATCACACTCGCAACACCAGCTCATCTCCAATTGACCTTATCCTTCCGCAACATACAACCCATACCTTTGAAAGACCCTTTCTGAACCGAGCCCCAAAACTGGAACTCCCTTCCCCTTTGTCATGCCGCCTCCTTTTCCTCCTTCATATCCCACCTGTATAATCACCTCATCTCCTTCCAAACAGAGACCTTACGTTAATATTTGATATTTTTGTTTAATATTCTTGTTATGGTTTTCTTATGGCTTGCCTTTCTTGTATACGTTGTGCCCAGATTTGTATTTCATTTTATTTTGAATTTCATAGAAGTAACTTCCTTTATTTATTTCATGTATATTATTCTTAGTGGACACCAGGCCCAGAATAAAGTTTTTTCTTTTTAATTATTTCAATTAATTATTTTATATTAAATCTCTATTATAGGGCAAAAAGATGGAAAATGTGAACGGTTGTAGGTTGAGATGAGGAGTTGGTGTCCGAGGGGAGCAGCAACATATTGAGCTGAAGATCGTGGGTTCGAATTCCCCTCGTGACAATAATTTTTCATCTCAACCAACAAACTTACCCGTAATTGAAGTGTATATGTAGCGTAAACAGTCTGCCAAGAATTCTTCACATCAATTAATAAATTTACTTTTAAAATTGCAGTTTTCACTCTAGCGTGCCAGCATTTTACATTCTCAGTGGCTGTGTAGGTATATTCAACCATCTTGATGTTGATTCTTCACATCAAAATGTTGACTTAAGCTTGGCCAATTTGGATCTTACCGCAGAACCAAATTTACCACATAAAATTCCTCTCAGGCACTTAAAAATAATGTAAATGATTTTTTTATATTTTTATTGTTTATCTAAGTGATATAAATTATATGATGCAACAGTTGCATTCCTTGCCCTTGCAGCAACAGAATGTTATTTATTTTTGGGTGTGATGAAAAAAGTCTTTCAACTTTCTACCAATAATTTTCCCTTTATTTTTTGTAATTATAAAATGGGTAAATGATTAATTAAAATGTACACAAAAAAGCAAATTACGTGGCTTTCTTAGAATAAATAAAAATATCACTTCCGGTTGAATAAAATTTAAACAACCGTAGCCGGTGACACCTGTGCTCTTTCTGAGGTGGCCTTGGGAATTTTGAACTTTGTGTAGAAATGGAATGGATGGAGATGTTCAAAAGTATAAACGGGAAGATGCACATGTTCTTCTAAAGTCAATGTTTCAACAGATTCACAGACCCAACTGCTGAAAATCAAACAACATCCCGGGATGATAAACTATTGATGGGATGGCCAACATCCCTAACCATAAACTAGTGACAAATGTTCAGCAACTTTTAGATCAACCAACTAACTAAAATAATCATAAATTTTTACATCAAGTTATTCAAAGTCAACTTTTTATGAATACATATTACATTTGTATATTGATATTAATTGTTTCTAAAATATTATTTTTAATTGATATCAAGTTTGCTTCACTTCATTTATGGCACAACAGAATGTTTTAAAACACGATGTAATTCTAAGAATGGATTGTTAGAGAAAGTTCAATCGGGATGATGATGATTACAATTACAATCTGAATGAGTCTGTCTAAAAGAATGGCTAACATTTTCCAATGAGAGTCCACATTTTGGCTCTTCTCTTCGGAAGACTCATCTGGCACATTTTCCAGTTCGTTTAACTGTTAAAAAAATAAATAAAATAAGTATTCCTCAAGTCAAGTGGGATAATTTAATTATGCAACTTACATTCGTAGATGGTAATAATAAAGATGTTAGTTTGTGTTTCAAGTAATTTGTCATCCATCTTGGAGGTTGTGTGGTGAGAACAGCTAAATGTTTTATAAAAGGTATGAGTGCCATTTGCAGACATAGTAAGAACAACAATTTGCTTGTCAATTGAACTAAAAATAAAATAATTATTTAGAATAATATTAAAACCTGTTGGTTTATAGTAATTAGTAAAATTATGGTCTAACTGATTTTTGGCGTGCTGCTCGTCAACGAAGGGAGTATTGTAACTTCAGTTAGTAAAAATAATACAAGTGCTAAAATTGAGCAAAGTATCAAATAGGATTTTGTAATGCTCAATGGCGGGAGGCATATCAGGCTTGGAATTATCGTGACTAAAACTGTTTAGAAAAAAAAGTTATTCCTGTTTCTACTCAGTACTCAATGCAAATGAAATAAATATTACCGATTGTAGGCAAGATAAAAATGTAGAGAATAGACTCTCCTTGTCTCACCAATTTCAACTGAATTTTAAGAACATTACTTGCAGAGATTGTTTCATTTTCAATTTCTTTCCTAAATAAGATTGATTCGCCTATTACATTTTCTATTTTCCATTCATGCCCGTGAATGTTGATGTAGTCCTGAAATTTAATTTGTGAAATGTATTTATTCACTAAAAAAATGATATTTTTACAACTTTACATCTGGTGTCTCGCTCAAACTAAAGCGAACGGCGTTAAAGTCTTGCAATAATCCAATGTTGATATCGCAGTTCTGTGTGTCCCAGGGCCAATCGCTTATATCGGATTTACACCAGGTCTTGAAAATAATCTTCGGAGACCACTTTACAGTTCCGTTGTTGAATATCTTAATTACAGGCGAGTCAAACTTATTGTAGTCGGTCAACGTCCCATGGGCTGCGCTAGAAAGTAATTTTTCTTCAAGTCATGGTAACAAAATATCTGTATTATACACTCACTTTAGCACTGTTACGTCCGGCAGCCAGATCTTGCGAATGTATAAGTAAAGATGGGATAGTCCATTATAATAAGTTTCATTCCAGAGAAGTTTTTGATCAAACCATTCCTGGAATCGACAAAGGATAAATCATGGAAAGGGAAACAATATATTATCCTTGGAAATTATACATCTGTCTAGCCATTTTGTCTAATTAAGTAGGCAGTTTTTTGTAAATAAAACTATTAAATAAACACACATACCATTTTAAGTTCTGCATGAGTGCTCAAAACTGATGACTTTGTATCCTTAAAAATGCAAATATAAAATTATAATTCAATTAATTAAGGTTTTAAGTTGAGATAAAAAAGTCAGTGTCACGAGCGGGATTTGAACCCACGACCTTCGGCTTGATACACCGCTACTCTACCACTGGAGCTATCGTGACTTTGATCCACTCAGACACCAACTTCCCATCTCAACCCCACCTTCGAATTTTCCCTCCTTTTGCCGGCGTATCAAGCCGAAGGTCGTGGGTTCGAATCCCGCTCGTGACACTGACTTTTTTATCTCAACTTAAAACCTTAATTAATTGAATTGTATTAATTGGTCAAGCGGACCACGAAAAATAGTGAATATAAAATTATAAATTCGTAAAATTTAAATTAGCAGTTCTTCAGTTAAATTACCAAATCGACATGATAGATGTCAAGTTTTGTATCAACGAATAAGGTCGAGTCATCGACTGGAACTGCATAAGGGTCATATTCTAAGAACAAATCTTGCTTAAGTCTTTCCAAATCTGACACAATTTCATCTTCCATAATTGTTTTATTTTCTGTAAAAAGAAAAACCTTACAAAATTATCAAAAATGTTGATTTTGTTATTAAGGATAATTTTTGTTTTAGTAAATAAACTTTTTATTTTGCACTGAGCAAGTAGGATAACAATTTGCAATATTGTATAAACAATAAGTGACTAGCGTGATAGCTATAGTGTTGCACATTGGCTACAATCAACCTAAAGTTTGAATTATGCTCACAGTGTCTAGCATGTCTATGACTTTTCAAGGATAATTTAGTAAATTATATAGCTTAAGTAATTAAAATATCTTCTAAATAACCAAAGTGAAAAGAAAGTAACCTGTACATCCGAATTGCCACATTAAAGTTATTCCTGTATAAGCTCCAAATGAAGCAAAACTCAATTGTTTCACCATTTTCTCTTTGTACGTTATAAATGCTGGTTCCCCCTTTTTACCGACCGTAATCGTCTCGTCCGAAATTTTTATCTGCAGACGTGCACAGTCAGTTATCATGTCATCGTAATTATAACAGAAGCTTACCCAAAAATTGACAGGGTGGTTTGCGTTCATGATATGGGGGGTGGAAACATCCAGATGCTTTGGGAGCTTTGGGCTTTTCCTCAAGGAAGAATATGTGTTAGAGGCCGCACCAATAACCACTTCGTACGTAACATCTTGCCTTGTCTGTATCAAATTCGGCAAGAGCATAATATGAGCATCGCTGCGACCCATTACTGAGAAATTCATGTAGACTGTGTTGAAATTAATTCTCCATTTGTCAAGATTAAACAAAGTTCTGTACCATCCATAATCTTTTGTGTAAAGGACATCACAATTTAGATGTTGTACGTCTGAAAGAAAAGTGCAATTACTAATAATTCTTTTATATTGGATTATAAGAAATAATGTTCACTCAAAAACTTAAATGTAAAAAAAAAGAAAAGATTTTGGCATTATTATTTTTATTTCTTCTGGTGTTTTCCTTTTGTAAATATTGCTGTATGATTTTTTATTTATTTATTATCATTATTCTATTAGTAGGTATTAGTTTTTAGTAGGTGGTTTTTTATTTTTTAATTATTTATTTATTTTATTTTTTTAATTTAATTATTATTTTTTCTCTACCCGAGCGTAGGAGGAAGGATAAAGGATGCTGTGGATGCACCCCTAGACAAGGTGATGGCTGCCTCCTTTTTTTATACTTTTCTCCATCTTTTGTGAAGTATTTGCATGCGCCACCCTCCAACTAACTCCCTCATGATGGGGGTTCACTGTCCAGAGCAGACCCAGAGCACTCCAGGCCAGCACCTCATCATTTGACATTATTAAATTACAGATTTAACGTGTTCACTGTGGATGACACCACCAAGGTGTCATCAGTGAGTTGTTTCACCAGGTGGATGATGCCATGGTGTGGATTCAACCTTTTAATTCTCTAACAAAATATCTGCCTTATAAACAAGTCAAAGGAAATAAATCCAGTAGAGAATGTGTTAAAGTGATTATAATTATCACATTATTTGTGGTTTTAAAATAAAATCGATTTTCTAATTTCAAACAGAAAATTATATTTTCAATGACAAAAAATGGCACTTGTATTTTGTTGTTTATTTCAAACTATATGCACTTTTTCATTTTATTAATTACAACATACTTGTTTTACTCAAATAATTATACAAAATTTTTTCGAAATGAAAAATTTGTGTCACAGGCAGGATTCAAACTCACGACTTTTGGCTAAATACGCTGCTGCTCTACCACTTGAGCTATCGAGACTTCGATTGCCCATGCCACGAACTTCTCATTATTATTCAGAAATTGTGAGATGCGGTCTGGTGTGATGTAGGTTGCAGAAAAACATTTTCTTTATCGTGCCAACGTTTCGATCTTTATCGAGATCATCTTCAGGGTCTGGGATTTACAAACATTGTTTACATTTAACAAATACATGTAGGATGTTGAAAAGAGTGAATTTATACAATGCAAAATATATATTTTTTATATTCAATCAAAGTATTTCTATTCACTCAAAGTGTTTGTCTTCTGTGTAATTGTGCCATTCTTGAAATAAAAATACATAAATGTAGTTTTAAATAAACAACAAAGTACAAGTGTCTTTTTTTGCCTTTGATTGTATATTTCTTCTTTAAAATTTTTAATGTGAATGATGTTACCTCCATTTATGTCTGAAGTTGTGTAAACTAAAAAACAAGAGCATAAAGTCCATACAATCACAGTGTACTTAAACATCTCTACGATGTGACTAGGACCCTGATTGTCACAAACGAAGAATTATCTTTTTATTTTTTAAAACAACTTCCTCTTTTTTTATTTTATCAGTTTGTACTTATTATCATGCATGATTAAAACTATATTATCATAAAACAGTAAAAAGGATGAAATAAATCTAAATTGCTTTGTGTCTTTGAATTTAATTGAATGTCTTTTTGCATTAAAAATGCTTAAAATTTTAGTACAATCTTCTTTTGATTTAAAGAAATATGCCCTAGATCTAGAGCATTGATTCTAGGTTTCTTTTCAAATAAAATTAAACTAATGTTTAATTATTTTAATAAAAATAAATAATGATATAAAAACAACTGTTTAATATGATTTAAGTATGATATTTTTATTTATTTATGCCTTGTGTATGTTTGGTTTAAAGGATTAAATAAATTGATATTAATTGACAAGGAACTATTTTTATACTTTGTAGATTGGGTTTTTTTATGGAATGAACCAGTTGTTTTTATTTTAAACATTGTATATTCTTTCAGGAAGGTTGTTGTTGAGGAGTGGTCATGGTAGTCCTAAAATATATGCAATATTTGAAATAAGAACAATTAAGTGAACAACTTTTAAGAAAACAAAATCCAAAATAATATAATTTTTATATTTTGTCTACAGTTACATAGTTGTCATCAAGTGATGTCAGTTTGATTCTATATCTGGATAGATTATATAATATTGAGAAATTTGAAGTGCTTTTGTACATAAAGAGTGTTATTCAATTTGAAAGGATTAAAACAGAGCAGCAGTTTTATTCATAAATATTCTCTCAACAGGTCGTTCAACATTTGTTCATCGCACTCTTTAGGACTTTCATTTCTGAAAAATGATATCGTATTAGAGGCAGTCATTTAAATTTTATTGCAGTACTTACGGGATGAACACTTTTGCAGTGTGGGGACCATAAAGTTGTATAGTTTTGTTTGAAATTCTCATTATCGAACCTTCTCTGAGGCCGACAACCGGTGGAGTCCCAGGCAGTTCGTGGTATTGGCCGATCCTCTTCTCTCTCGTTTCACCCATATGTTTCGAATTCACCTCGGGCTCTATGTAATGCGGGTTTATATTGAAAGAAACTAAGCCGAGAGCTTCGAAAGTTGGCGGATATACAATAGGCATGTCATTGGTAGTGCAAATGCTCACAGTCGCGACATTTGTGCCAGCACTAGATCCCATGTACACAAGTTCACCCTAAAAATTTTAATTTCAAGTATTGAATTAAATTTTATTGAATAAAATTTAAATATTGACTCACATTCAAAACCCTTTTCCTTATTATGTCTACAAGTCCATACTCCCATAAAGTCTTTAACAGAAGAAATGTATTTCCACCTCCAACAAATACAGCCTGTGCTTCTGAGACAGCTTTCTTAGGGTCTTCCCTGTTGTGAATGCTCTCTACTTTTATCCCAACTAAAAAAAAATTTTTTTACATCGAATTGATTCTTTCTAAATTCTAATTCTAAATACACTGACAGGCAAAAAAATTCCACCCAACTGATTTTTTTTTCATTTTCTCGATAAAAGAAAATTCTGCCCTTAATTTGTCTCATTGTTTTTATCAATAAATATTTGTTTAAGCTGTTTTAAATTGGGAATATCAATTGCAGGTAAACACACTTAATCCTTAATCCAAAACAAGGATAAAGGATTTTTCAAATTTTTAATTTTTATGGAATTTAAAATGAATTCTGAAGCAATAAACTGTTCAGTTTTCATCTTTGCTTTCTAAACTTCAATTTTTAAACTTAAAAATGCTGCTTAAATAGTGCTGAGGATGTTGTGCGTGATGTGGCACTCATCGATGATGGACGTTCTATCAGGTATGCGGCTATTGCCATCGGAGTTCCCTATGAAACACTGCGAGACTTTTCTAGCAACTGGGTCCTACCATAGAACCACAAATGACTGTTTTTTTAACTTTTGAGGATTTTGTGAAACCAGCACTTTACTGTTGTTCAACTGATTCATCAGCTCTAGAAAGAGGTGTCCAAATTTCTGGATGCACTGCTCAAAGAAGATTAAATCAGTATGGACTGATGGCTTTTCATGCCGAAAGAGGACCAGAATTGACCAGAAAACAGAGTTGCCCAGGTCGCATTTGCTTGAGAACACAACCATTGATCTTTGGACGATTGATCTGCTGAACTTTTTACAGATGAGTGCAGATTTGCTCTACTATCTCCAGATGGGTATGAAAGAGTGTGGAGAAGGCGAAATGAAAGAATGTGAAGCCTGTAATTTTTTCCAGAGCCGACCTTTTCAACGTAGCTCAGTGATGGTGTGGGCGGGAATCTCAATGGAGAGTCGCACAGAGTTGGTTGCTGTTTATAGAGGGTCTTTGACGGCCACTCGCTTTGTGGATGAAATTTTGGAACATAATAAAATCAGCGACAATCCTATTCTAATGGACGATAATGCCCATCCATCACTTCCTGATACTCTCCACGTTCCTGGAAAGGACTCTTCATGAAGAATGGGCTAACCTCCAGTAAAGAGACATTTCCAGATTGGTAGAAAGTTTAAGGCGAGGAAATACACAACATTGAAATGCTAATTAAAAATCTAAAACAAAATTTTAAAATCTGTCCATCTTTTTTTTTTTTAAGTTTCTTTTTATTTTCATTTTCCTTAGCAATTTACATTTTTTTAACTACTTTTTTGGACAAAGACTCAATTATTAAATGTTAAAAAATGTGAAACTCTGATTAATATATAAAAATATATACAAATCAAGTAATATTACAAGTGGGTGTAATTTTTTGCCTTTCAGTGTAGAAACAAGTTTCAGAATTCAGCCATAAGAAATATAATACACTTGTAAGATTACAGCATATTATGGACAGAATTTTAATTATAATTGATCTTAAATTAAAGACTAAAATATCTAGACGTTTCATCTAGATTAAAATGAATGGTGGAAATATGCAGAAAAAATTCCCCTATCACAATTTATTATAATAAAATTTATATTATGGGTCAGGTCTGTAATTTACCATATTTGTCGAACCCTTCTTTCACAGTTGTCAGGTACTTGTCATGGTTTTTCAGAGCGTACGGAATGAACAGTACTTCATTGACACGATTGCTGAAAAAAAGAAAAAAAATATTAAAGGCTCGATGACGAGAAAAATTATTCAACTGACTCACTCTCTGAAAAAAGATTTGACTTCGTTGGTCGCATACTGCAAATAATTGGTCCCATGCACTTTCGAAGTAGACAAAAGCAGTAAATTTTTCATTTTAACGGCGTTAGCCCTGTTGGATCTTCTTTGAAATAATTTGACCTAAGCCCAGTTTCACAAAAATAGGTTCGTTTAGACGATTAGATAAAACCGAATTCATCAATCTTTTATATCTTTGAACTTTTGAAGTGTTTTGGTGATAGGCAAGTTTTTGATAATTCCGATTGATAAGTCAAAAGAGGTCGCCTCGGTCGACGGTTTTTGAAAGTACATAGTCGTAATAATAGACTTATAGAAAAGAAACAGTAGTTGTCTAGTCTATGCAGTGTGCTGTTACACCCATACTGCTGACCTACCTATCACCGTCATCACCATCTAGACGGACGATATCTAATTTTGTCCTTCACCTCGAATCCTATCCAAGCTGCCTCCAACATCCTTGAGCTTACCGAAGATTGGTGCAAAATGCGGAAGACAAGACAATGGAGAAAAATGTACTCAATGTACTTTGAGAAAACAGTCTTCCCCTCCATTGTACAACAACGCAGATATAACGAACTTCCATTCAAGTCAAATACGTAGGACTATACCTAGACATCAGACTGACATGGAATCCCCATAGATTTAAAAAACAACTTAATACAAGACTTTGACTACTAAGAAGACTTCTAGGGCCGAAATCTACTCTCACAACTGAGATAAAGCTAATACTGTACAAGACTTTAACAAGACCAATATGGACATACGGAGTGGAATTGTGGAATATTGCCAAGCCATATCCAGCGCTAACTCCCTATCCCTAACCATCCCTAACAATCGAAAGTCCTTAGACTTGCCGAAGCGCCTTATTCACTTCACTATCCATAAACCTCCACATTCCTTTTGTCAACGAACTGATCCGGTCCAGATTCCAAACCTTCCATACCAACCTTTCGAACCATCCTAACCATACTGCTCGAGCCCTCTCCACTCATATCCATCCTGACAACCCGTCACGTCGCCTCAACCGATGGTGACCTCGGGACCTCCTTGTCAAAGCTCCTTATTAAGTCACTATCCACAAAGACCTCAACATTACTTTTGTCAAGGAACTGATCCGGTCCAGATTCCAAACCTTCCGAACCAACCTTTCGAACCATCCTAACCATACTGCTCGAGCTCTCTCCACTCATATCCATCCTGACAACCCATCACGTCGCCTCAACCGATGGTGGCCTCGGGACCTCCTTGTCAAAGCTCCTTATTACGTCACTACCCACAACGACCTCAACATTATTTTCGTCAACGAACTGATCCGGTCCAGATTCCAAACCTTCCATACCAACCTTTCGAACCACCCTAACCATACTGCTCGAGCCCTCTCCACTCATATCCATCCTGACAACCCGACAATAAAAAAATTAATTTATACAATGCTAGAAAATTTTAGATTTAAAAAAATAAATGAATTTAAGCAATGCTAGAAAATTTTAGATAAAAAAATGAATTTATACAATGCTAGAAAATTTTAGATAAAAAAATGAATTTATACAATGCTAGAAAATTTTAGATAAAAAAATGAATTTATACAATGCAGGAAATTTTTAGATAAAAAAAAGAAAAATGAATCTGTACAAATACTTTGATTTTAATCTAAAATTTTCTAGCATTGCTTAAATTCATTTATTTTTTTTAATCTAAAATTTTCTAGCATTGTATAAATTAATTTTTTTATTCTAAAATTTCGAGCATTGCATAAATTTTTTAAATTCTAAAATGTTCTAGCATTGTATACATTTATTTTTTTAAATCTAAAATTTTCTAGCATTGAATAATTTTTTTAATCTAAAATTTTCTAGCATTGTATAAATTCATTTTTTAAATCTAAAATTTTTTAGCATTGTATAATTTTTTAATCTAAAATTTTCCAGCATTGTCTAAATTCATTTTTTTCATCCTACATGTACTTGTAAAATTTAAACTATGTTTATAAATCTTAGGCCCTGAAGATGATCTCAATAAAGATCGAAACGTTAGCTCGATAAAGGAAACGTTTTTCTAAAACCTACGTCACACCAGACCGCCTCTCACGACCTCCAAATAATCATTAAGTAACGATCACTAAACACCACAAATTTCTACACGAAAGGAACATTTTTTATTGAGTCTAGGAAGCTAGTTTTATATTATATTTTAAAAAAAGTCAAAAAAGCAACTCCGCTGTTTTCTATGCATTTTTCTTTTAATTTGCATTCTGTTTTAATGCCCATCTTTGTCATACTCCTCGACACACATCCCACGACACACCACTTTTTGTCGAGGAACCGCACATTGAACGCAGTACTGACCCAGCAACGGTCCTCTTCCTAGGTTTAGAATCCGAGACCAAAACTAAGGACTTTGTTTTGCATATATTTGTTCTTAAGTGACTTTATGATCATAACTCTGTAGATCTTCGTCGACCGTTATTTCTTTCAACATTTGCGAATCATTGATCGTTTCAGAAAGGCCATATTGTTTCATTGTCATTCCTTGTTTTTCAAAAATATCTCGAATGTTGGACAACGCAGTAGCTTCATTAGAGCGTTCGCATAATTAACCTTTAAATTTTTCTCGAAGCATCGGTGCATCTAATTTTACACACAGTATTAAGTAAACAAAGAATTGCTTCAATCTTTGTGGTACTAAAGCATGGCTCATATTTCGAAATAAAATTTTCCGTTTCGCACAATCCTGCTACTCTCGCTGCCTCCTGATAGCTAGAGACTAGTACTACTTTTATCGTGCATAATCAATCGAAACTTGTAATGGTTTTCTTGTCTCTGAGCAATTGTTTCTGATGAAAACGTTCCAAATCTCTCCGTGAAACTGTGCCCAGTCTTGCCGCAACTTTACAACTGTTTTTATTACATACCTGCCATTTCTTTTGCACTGTTTCCCACGCGTAATGCAATGGAATTGGTAAATAGGTATATTGCAGAGCATTTTTATCTGTTTTATTCAATTCAAAATAAGCTATTGGGTTGTCCGGAAAATAATGCAGGATTTTGGTATTAAACAAAAAAAAAGAAACTNAACAATATCATTTGGAAGAGGATTAATAAGTGTTGACATTCATACAAATGAGTAATCCTGTAAACGTAAACAGAATATTTTATATAGATTTTTTTAAATGAAAACTTAAAATCCTGCATTATTTTCCGGACAACCCGATAATAATTTTGTTGTTTCGATATCAATGCTTCATGTTCCTTTCCCTGTATGTAATATGATTTTGTCCGGACTTAAATAAATAGGCAGTAATTCAACACTGCATGACCGTGCATACATTGGTAAATAGATTGATGAGAAATGGAAGAGATGGTTATAGAAAACGTCCGTGACTTCGCGAATCGTACTTTTTAGCGAATTTTGGTTTATCCCATTGGTCTTAAATAGCTGTTCAATGCTATGTAAAAAAAGATACAGTCCTTGTGGAAAATCTTACACAATTTTAATCCGAACAAAAAACCTAAAGTAGCTAACTTCCGGAAATAAGTACTGATAGCAATTGTTTAAAAATAGGCTTATTTTGTAGAAAAAAAAGTTCCTCTTTCCAACGATGTCCAATCTGACACAGTTTCTTAAAGTTTGAGAATATAGTGAGAGAAGCGAAAAATTCTATTGCAACGTCGCGCTCATCCCCTTATTTCCCTTATTTTTTCATTTTTTACACCATTAAAATCCTATAGGTCTCTCTTCACACCTCATCAAAACTTTTTTAATATATATTTTTTAGATCACACCTTCATACAATAATAAACACGGCCAAAAGGATATTTCACAGAATTATTACCCTGAGTCATGAATCTTTTCATCACAAGAAAATAAAGATATACAAACATATTCTACATAACAATCACTTTCGTAAATACATAATCAAAAACTACAACTCAACACTAACACCATCCACTATCTCTAATAACGTGTAGCGAGTAGTGACCGTTAGTCGATAATTATTCAGAAATCGTGAAATCACCTCACTAGACCGCATCTCACGATTTGTGAATAATTATCTCTAATAACACTACATCAATTCTATGAAACAGAGACAAACCATATTCACGGCCTATCACACAAATTAAACACACTTCTTTCTTCTGATAACTTTAAAATAGCCTTCAAAAACTATAAAACTATTCAAACTCTTTTTTCCAAAATTAAAGATCCCACACCTGCAACAAATAAATTGTTGTAATTTACAAAATTGTATAAATTGTCCGGCAACTTATATCGGAATTACACCCAAATATCTGAATAAGAAGGTAGAACAGCATATCTATGATTGCAAAAACACTCAAACAAAATTCTACAGCACTGGCTAAGGAACAATTTTGAACACCAACACAATTTCGACTTCAACAGTCCAAAAGTATTACACACAGAACAAAACAAACAGAAACGTAATTTTTTAGAAATGGTTTACATCAACAGAAATAAACACATCATCAATCACAGAACAGACACATGTAAACTCAGTGTCTCAGCAACGCTAATAGCTTAAATCAAATTCAATATCAGTAACATACAAAAAACACACAAACATATAAAACAATCATTGCACTTCACACTTCGAACAATTCTACATAGTCTAAATCTCCAACAATTTATTATTAAGCTTTCCATAATAATCCTGAAAAGATAAACTAATCCCGAACGACAAACCATCATCATTTTTTTTCAATGTCGGTCCCTTTCCCCTCAAAGAAGCCAACTTCTCATAGAAAAATACCACGGTAGCTCAAGTGGTAGAGCAGCGGTGTATTTAGACGAAGGTCGTGGGTTCGAATCCCGCTCGTGACACTGACTTTTTTTATCTCAACCAATACCTTACTTAAAGAATAATTAATTGAAAATTATTGAAACAGTTAAAATTTCTATCCCTACTTCCTTCCTCAATCCTTCAAAATCAAATATATAAACAAAAAATTAATATCTCACTACACTCTCAACACGAAACACAACCGTGACACATTTACACAGAAAACACTCACTTTGAGTCAATACAAATTGATTAAACCTAAACTTTCTATATTATGTACGTCATTGTATAAATTCATATTCACACCCTACATGTATTTGTATAATTTAAACAATGTTTATAAATCCCAGGCCCTGAAGATGATCTCAATAAAGATCGAAACGTTGGCACGATAAAGAAAATATTTTTCTAAACCTATATCACACCAGACCGCATTTCAGGATTTCAAAATAATCATTTTTTAAAATATTTAGTGAAATGCCATGCCTATATCTCATTAACTAGCAAAATAAACCAACCCGAAGCAAAGATTATGCTGTCTTCTATCCATACTCTTGAATGTTAAAAATCAAGAACTGTAAGATAATATTTTTTATTACTGACAAAACAGCACAGAGACTAGGATCATTTATTATCATTAAATAAATAAAGACATTTGTACAT